AGGTCGGGGTCAAGAGGTCACAGGTCATTGGCTAGGGGCTTTAAGCCTTTGCCGCCGTCAAAGGTTATTCGGTCAGCTTTAAGAAAAAAATATACCTTTCAGCTTGGAGATGGGGTTGGAGTTTCTTGGTCGTTCTAGGAGGTACTTCCGTGTGGAATTAATTAGCGTACCTGATAAACCAGTCTTAATTTATTGAACGAGAATATCTAATGAAACAGTTTAGTAAGTTTGTTATGGATTATTATTATTATCATCATCATCATCATCATCATCATCATCATCATCATCTCCATCTCACGTGACCTCATCCATGTAGCGGACAGGTGTAACAGACAGGTGTGGCAGACAGGTAGACAGTTGGTTGCTTGAAGTCAGTGGCCTTGCTTTTTTTTTTATCTCGCCTCCACTGTGTTTGTGATCTCCCCTGCAGCCAAAGCCACACGCCCCTGCTGTGAGTGAAGTGTACCGGGGGGGAAGCAGCTTGGGCGTACCGGGATGAACACTTGATAACGGACCGGGATAAGCACTGGGATGCGGCTGGCTCACTGGAGAGGATGTCACCGTGTTATTTCCGGGTATCTAGGCCGGATACGCGAGGGAGATTCAACCAAATACGTAGACGCCAACCTAACTATTGAAATTAGGGGTCCATGTCTTAATAGGGGAGGGGGGGCATTAGCTGACCCTGTTAATGGGGTTTATATAGAGTTTAATGGCGCTAGTGAACCCTTGGGGAGGGGGAGCTGGGAAATGTGCTGTTGTGTTATTCCTAGGACAGGTGAGGAGGAAGGGGGTGATGGTTCATACTGCCTTAGACACACACACACACGAGGTAGTTGTTGATACACTCACGCCGAAATCTCTGGCTGATATCACGAACTTCCACACTAACATTTATCCCTGGATGTGTGATGACTGTGCGTAGGGCGGCTGGTGATGCGTATTGATGGCGTCATGATAGCGTATACGCAATTACGCATGTGTGTTTGTGGTAGGGGCTCACCAGTCTACACCTCACCAGTCCACCTAGCCGCCACCGACCCAGTTAACTGTCTTATGTATATAACTGGGCGAGTGAACGGGAAGACAGTTACTTTTACCTCCCGTGGGGTTTAAGGTTGACCAAGGAAGCGAGGAAGAAACTTAACCTAACCTAAACCAAACCAACCTAAACCTAACCTAACCACCAAATAGTAAATATTCTCCATCGTCTCGTCTTGACCCCCTTAATGTTTGTTTGTTTACATACATATATAAAGGGAACTGTGTGTGTGTAGAGGCTGATGTTGGAGCCGTATAATGTATAACATGTTTTACCACGAGAGAGATAAGGGAGAGAGAGAGAGAATGAGTCTATAGTAAAAAGTTCTCTTATCTAGGTTATGAGTCACGTCTATGTGTACAGGAACCAGAAACATGTAAGCTTATGTAGTATGGTAGTAGTAGTGGTGGTAGGGTGGCTGTGGTGAGGGGGTGGTGGTGGTAGGTTAAGGTGGTAGAGGTGGTAGGATGAGGAATCGTGGTTACTGTAGTGATAAGGTGGTAGGGTGGTGGTGGTAACGGTGATAGTACGTTGAGTAGACGTGGTGTGGGGTTGTAATGAGAGACGTGGAGTCGGTTAGCCCTCCCCTGCTGCATGCGGACTGCCCCCCCCCCGGTCCCTCACCACCTCACTAGAATTTAATAACCTTTCTACTTTCTCGGGGTGACCGTGTCCTATCCTTCCCGCTGCTGTAGTCTGAGTGATGGTCAATGTTCTCCAGGGCTGACTAATATTATCCACTGCTGGCTAATCTCTCTCTCACGTTGACGTATCTTATCAGTGGAAATTGACGAGTCTAATGTTAACAAAATGTGTTGCCGATATCGAGGGGGGGTGTGTGTACTATCGTGGGCCACCTGTTTCACGCACGGTACTTCATAGGGTATCGTAGATTTTGTAGATAGGGTTTTGTAGGTGTAGTAATGTAGATTTGGTATGTATAGGGCATTTTTTGTAGGTGTAGTATTGTAAAGTTTGTAGTATGGGTTATTGTTGATTTTGAAGGAATTGGGTATTGTAGGTTTTGTAGTTAAAGGCATTGTAGATTTTGTACAGTAGCTAACTCAACTAACTGGGTGACCCTACCTTAACTTGATGGCTTCACGTAGCATCAGCTAAGAGACGAAATTAGAGTACAGAATCTTTGTGAATCTTGCTAAGTGAGAGAAGGAGAGTGAGGTAAGTTGTCCTAGACCCGGAAAGGTAGGCATACAGTGGAGGAAAGAATGTATAGAAGGTAAGAGGGGGAGGAAAAGTAGGCATACAGTGGAGGAAAGAATGTATGGGTGGTAAGAGGGGGAGGAAAGGTAGGCATACAGTGGAGGAAAGAATGTATAGAAGGTAAGAGGGGGAGGAAAGGTAGGCATTCAGGGGAGGAAAGAATGTATGGGTGGTAAGAGGAGGAGGAAAGGTAGGCATTCAGGGGAGGAAAGAATGTATGGAAGGTAGCAGGTAGTGCGTGTGTGTAAGTCATGCTCTCGCTGTTATTACTTCTCCTGTGTGTTCAGTGACACAGAATTTCCTGGTCACTTATCCATATCTATCTGACATTTATGTGAAGGTCATGTGGGTGTCTACTGGAAAGGTTGTGTGTGTGTGTGTGTGTGTGTGTGTGTGTGTGTGTGTGTGTGTGTTGATTGGCAAGTGTGTGTATGTGTTGACTGTGGTGTATGGGGGCAGGTGTGTGTGTTGGCTGGTATGTGGCAGATGTGTGTGTGTGAGTCACTAGTTATTACACTGTGGACAAGGGAAGAGTGAGTGAGGCGCAAGGAGGGGAGGGGGCGGTAGTGTTGGGGAGGGGAAGGTTGTTTGTCATGCCTGGTAGGAACTAGACCTGAGTCACACTGTGGTCTAGAAGTTGTGGGGCCGAGGTGACTCAACTGAGATGAAAACGAACCACTGAAACCGACAACGTGAATTTTGATATTGGTATTATTTTTACCCCTCCAAACCTACCTACCTACCTACCTACCTACCTACCTACCTACTTGTCTTCCTGTTTACCTTTCTCTCTCCTCTTTTCTCTCCCCCTCCTTCCTCTATTTCCGTTCCTCTTTCACCTCTCTGCTTTCCTTTCTCCTCTCCCTCCTTTCATCTCTCATTTCTCCCCTTTCTTCCTCTCCTCGCCCTCCTCCTCTTTCCTTATCCTCCTCCCCTATCCCTCCTGTTACCTCCTCTCCCCCTTCCTCCTCCCAGGGAAGGAAGGATGGAGGGAGACTCGGGCGGGTATAAATTTCACTGGGTTATTTTTTTAAGCTTATCACTTACCGTGGTAATATACTGCGAGCACACGGTAGAGGAGAGAGACAGACAGACACCCTTTTCTGTTTTTGAGAGAGAGAGAGAGAGAGAGATTCGCCTATTCTTATTTGAGAGAGAGGGAGAGTCTTTCCTATTTTGAGAGCGAGAGAGATGCACACTTTCCTATTTTGAGAGATAGTCTATCCTTTCCTATTATGGGAGAGTGATAGAGCCTTTCCCGTTTTTCTTTGATGGAGAGAGAGAAGGGGAGAGGTGTTGAGTAAGGGTGGAAATGTCACTGTGTCGTGAAAGGGAGAAGGTCTAGCCCTAGTTGGGTTAGGTTTGGTTTATATCAGGTGAACAACTAGTTAACTCTCCCAGCCACCTTTTACCTAGGCCTGGGGTGGTGTGCAGGGTGTGTCTTAATAAACGCCACATCCACCCCGCACCTGGAGTATACAGGGTGTGTCAAAATGTCTTAGTTATCCATGTGTTTTTTTATTATTTATTTATTTTTAGGGATTAGTGATCACCAACTGGTATATACGTTATGTTATGGACTTGGTAGGGTCATTGTGAGTGCCCATCCATCACCCTTACATAACCGTATTTAACATTGCACATGCTGAGTTGTGTGGGTCTCAGTCTCTTATACACACACACACACACAAACACACACACACACACTCTTACACTTAAAATATACACCCAACCACCCTGACAACCTACTCACACTTCGCTTCAACCATCAATCACGTGTAGGAGGCGGTCGTGAGGTGAAGTAGCCAGCAGTAATAATTTATAACAACCAATACATCACGGGCCGTCGACAGGGAAGTGAACAAGATCAAATACTGGAAGGCAAATGAAAATAGTACTTGATTTTTTTTAACATGGTGTATGGCTTGTGCTCTTGTGTGTTTAGTCATCAGCACTGGTAGTGTGTCATGGAATAACAATGTCGGTGTTTTCATGTTTGCTTAGCTTCGGGGTCTGGGATTTATGTTACAGAATTATTTTGACTGTTTTGAATGTGTGTGTATATGAGTATTTTGTTAAGGGAAGGTGTCAATTTATATGCAGTTGCTTAAGCTGTACAAAACAAACACCAAACGTGGCCAGTGTATTAATTCTCAAATATATATTCAAGTTTAAGAAGGTGCTTGGTGGTGTTACATGCTTAATGTTTGTTGTGTATGCATCTTATGTGACGCCTCCATACAGTGTTACTCGCTTGTAATATTATAGTCACCTGTTACATAAACCATTACAGTATAATATAAACCTACGTGTTGAAGATACCTCAGGATATTTTGAACAGTGAAAAGGGGATGAACCATGGCTGACCTTGTGCACAGACAGACAGCTCAGCCGGGGGTAGTAACATGATGCAACAGTACAGGTTAGGACACGAACAGCAGTTGAATTCGGCGTCGTCAGCTTGGTGTAGGCCATACCTGTTCAGACCTGTAATACTGTACCATACTCGTTAATAAAAGCCTTGAAATTATTATTCTTTGTTAAAATAAATTTGTATATCATTATTACTTGCTATTTTTTACTAAGATGTTATTTTAACTTGCCATTGATAACCGAGAAAGTTATTTTTACTAAGAGATGTTATTTTTACTTGCCATTGATAACTGAGAAAGTAGCAGGAGTGTTGTATTGTAGTGTGTTACAGTGTACACCTACTAACGTGTTGTTTGTGTTGCAGGCGGGAGAGGGCGTTTTATCGGTACTGCAGGGCCCGGGCGTGGGTAGCATCTCGGTGGACGTGGTTACAGGCGCAGGTGGCAGACCTTGAGTACAGAATCTTACAACAACAAAAAATATATACGTGAGTACTTAATTTACTGTACCTAACATTCTAGTGTATTTCCGCCTAATATGTGAGTGGGTATTTATGCCTTTTGTGTGTGAGTAGGCAATGTGTATACTTGTCTAATGTGTGAGAGTATTTTATGTACTGTATACATATGCTTAATGTGAGAGTACTTAATGTGCACAGTACTTATGCCCATTGTGTGAGTGCTTAAGTAGTGCATTTCACTTAAGATGGCTTCCATTTTCCACTTGTTTGATGTTCACTTTTTTCATCCCCCCAGTAAGTCATGTATAGGGGACGTGGTTCTTGGTTCGTCATTAGGGAGGTATCTTAGAATGGTCATGTATTTTAAACAATGATGCATCTCGTAAAGGAGCAAAGGACATGGTTTTGCCTGTAGAAGAATTAACACCTCATTTTGAATTGTTGCAAGTGTGTGAGTTTTGTTAAGTGCCTCTGCTTATGTGTGTGTCTAATACCTACCTGTGTGTGTGTATGAGTACAGTACCTGCTTGTGTGGACTGTAAGTGTGCTAGAGTACCATTTGATGAGGATTTGGTTGAATCCCTTCCAGTTAACAAGTAATTAGTCTTGATCAGTTGGTGGGCTCTGCTAATTACTTTACCTGTGATATATGTGGTAGTAATTTAACCTTTGAATTTTGTATTGGAAATTAATATTTTTTTTTAGTGAGGTTTTTCTTTCTCTGGTATGTCTCCTTTACTCGTGTGTGTGTGTGTGTGTGTGTGTGTGTGTGTGTGTGTCCTACAAGGCTAGATAAACGACTTGAGAGTTGTTTATGAATTACTTGGTCTTAAGTTATCTATGACATTCACCAGTCTTTTTCCAAGCTCCGAAAAAGATGACGAATACGGTATTTTATTCCGAGAAAAACGTCAACAGGTCCATGAGACATTTTAGTTCTTCACCTTCAGCATGAGGTTTGGGGGGGTCACCATTAACCAGAATTAGATGAAATGTTAGGTCAGGTCTTTCTTTTCCCTTTCCTGTCTGTCACCCATGAGCCCAAACTCCCAGGCTATAAGTGGTGATGAATGGTGTCCCAGGTGGTGTCTTTAAGAGGCTATTACTGTACTAAACCACCAGTTAGGACACCCACAGACTGACAACAATGATGATAAGGCTCCAGAGATTGTATCTGAGGGTGTGGTGCCCAAGGAGAAGTATAAATAGTTGACTGAGGACTTGAGAAATAGGATTTAGACTTTTATGTGACTAAGGCTGTCAGATGCTGGGGAGTGTTAATTTGGTGGATGGTGTACAGGTGAAACTCTGTAGATGTTATAGTTATGGTAAAAATTTGATCAAGTTTGGTATTTGTTTACAAAGGTGGTGTTAAAAGTACAATATTTTCCTTTGTCTCCTCACTATCTGCCTCTCCCCGTATTGAGATTCTTCATGACCACCTTGTTGATATAAGTTATTTGGTTGTTATTGTGGTTCTTTACTTGTTTTAGGATTTACTAACATTGTGTGTCTCCCAGGCACGTGCGCAACACAAAAGGCGCAGTCCAGTTGGAAGAGGGGAGTCGTTGGAGAGGGATGACTTTACGCGATCCCGCTCATTTAGATGTCCACGACCCTGCCCTTACGTGCCTGGCTGCCCCCACTGCCCGTACTGCCGTAAATGGTTATCATAGCCGTGTCGAGGACGGCGTGGGCGGCAGCGTTTCCGATACATCGTTTGTGTCTGCTCGCACCCAAGGTCTGCGAGCAATCAAAAGAAGACGTCTAGTGAGGGCAGGAGCTGGTCTCTGTGCCGGAGTCAGACGAGGGGGCGGGGGAGGACGTATTCCTGCTGTGCAGTGCAAGTGTGTTCCGCCTATTACATGTGTGCTATGCACACGTCTACAAGGCTTGGTCCCCCCTGCAGCCCCTCCAGACCCACACACACAACCAGCGAGTGAACGTTATGCACGAGTCGATCCCACTTTTCACCCAGTACTTTCACAACCTGCTGGTAAGTACAATATGATTCATGCTCAAATTTCAATTCTAATGGTAACTTGATGTTTTGGCTACATTTTAGTAAGCATTTACAATTAATGTAGTGTTTTCTTGTTTGTATGAAAAATATAAATTATACTGTTTATCTATTGTTCCTTTATTTATTTATTGATCTGTTTTCTAGAACATAATTTTTATTGTTTTTCAGATGTATCTTTATCTGAGAGATTTGATGCCATGTTGAAAACAACAGACTGGCAGCGGCAAATTTTGACGGCCAAAACCATCCAGCCTCTCCCAGTAACACGAACTAATAGAGAAGCCTCGCAAACGGATAAGAAAAAGAAAAAAGATAAGGACCGCAAAAAAGATTTTAAAAAACATAAGAAAGAAACAAAAGGAAGAATAACATTAAGTGAGTTATTTATTTTAGTGTAGTTATATTACTTTAGTATTGTCTCAGTTGTGATCATTAAGACTTTTTCCACCACAGCAGTTGTTGTCTAGTTCAGTAATACTCAACAGTGATGGTGTGTTTCTGTTAGTTAATTGTTCATCATCCTGAGTCACACTTCCTACACCCATTCAAGCTCTTATAATAAAGGCAAAACAGTTCGGACAGAATACACTACCATGGGTGGCCCGGGCTTACCGTTAAGGGGTCAAACTTTGGGTAAAAGGCCCTCAGTCACCAGAGTGTATGTCTATAGAGGGTTGTAACCTTTCAATGTTCTCAGGTAAAGGCTAGAGGGTGAAACATGTAGTACTGTATATTTTGTAGCAGTGGTCACACAATACTCAACTTGGAACATCACTAGTGAACAATATATTTCTGATGAATTGACCCATAATTCCAGTATCAGTAATTGTTGGTTTCAGATTCATTCATATTTTTGTTTTGTTTTCTAGAATTGAAAAAATCATTAATTACGGGAGAGTTAGTAAGAGACGGAGAATTCAAAAGAAAAAGGATGTCGGCTCGGGAGGCTATTTGTAAGTTGACCCGAAAGTATAATATTGAACGTATATGACTTTACCAGTTACTAGAGTGACTAACTGCAGTTCTATTGTTGACATTCATGACATATATTGTTATTAATGCTATTTATATTATTTGTATTTGTCAATTGTTAATTTGTTTATAATGAATGTGTTTGTAGTGGCTTGTATTTCTTGTCATAGGCTGTGATTATATTTTGATATAATTCTCAGTTGTCTATTTTTTTGTATATGTGGAAACTGGCTCCTGCACCCCATAAGACACTGCTCATCACTGTGGTTGATCTATCAGTCAGACCCGGCTTCCTCCCATCCTACCCCATATTAATTTCCTGGTCTCACCTCTGCACTAAAACATAAATAGACAAAACTTTCAAATGAGGGAAACTGCTTTAGTGATTCACTCGTGAATGTTTCCTCTATAGCTCCTGAGATAGAATGAAGAGGGACAATATATATTTCTTTGACACTTGTATATATTTCAGAACATGTTGTAATTGGTCAATGTTTTTTTCTCCGCAGTAACAATGAAAAGAGTGCGGGTTGACGACGACGACGATGCGAGTTCGGTGTATGGAAGTAGCCTCCACTCCTCTCCCTCGGCCAGTCCAGCGCCCATCGACCGCTCTGCCCATAAAAGACAATCCTCGACCTCCAACCAGAAAAATAAACAGGTGTTGATTGGTCTCTTGATGTTATTTTCCTTATTGGAAGTGATAAGATTTTCACTCACTATCTTCTTAAGTCATAATTGCACACTTGTCTCTCTGGATGGAAGCACAAAATAACCTTTCGGTCATGATTGTGTATGACTGAATCATTAGATCGCTTATTTATTAATACTCGTGAGACATATTAAGACCCAGACAGTAGCTGGATGAGAATATTCTGAATAGTAGTCCTAGTGTATGCTGTAGAATCCAACTCTTTCTTCAGGAAGGTCATTAGGTAGATCCCACGGTAAATGTTTTTCAGTTTATGTTGTATTGATGTGTACTTTAGGAGTTAGATGTGGCTATGTTGATTTATTTTATTTATTTTTATTGTTAATGTATGTGTTAGTTGATTGATACTGGAGGGGAAGCAGAGTATAGGTACCGGGTTTGTTTCTCTCTCATGCTGTTTGTGCGTGTGTGGGGGGAAAGTATGAACACTGTCGGGCGTGAAAAACATGACTGTATTTGGGGTTTACTCTAGAAGGACAACACCATACCAGAACACATTTTGTAAGGGATTTGGAAAGGATGAATGATGGCCATCTTGTACCATAGGAGAAGAGGACTTGAGGACTGGCATAAGTGAATGAAATATAATGTAAATAGATTAATTCTCATACATCTGAGGCATATATTTTGCTAGAAGTTTTCTTTCATGGTAAATGGGAGATCTTGCCAAATTACATAAAATTGATGAATAAAGGAAGACAAAGTGTGTGAGAGTCATGATAAAGAGAATGAAATTATGCATAATACGCTGTATTTATCTAGATGATAGTTGGATTCTGCCTCTGTCTTGGGCAGCTTGAACAAAACTTTTGAAGGGCAGATTTCACAGTAAATTAAAAGAAGTCCAGTTTTACTCTTAGCTGGGAGTTTTAGTTATTAGGGCTCATGCTAGTCACAGTGGGATTTTCTTTATGATTTCTGCATGTGGAAAACATTAATCTTTCAGCGAGAGAAATTACCTCGTAGTTTAGAACCTGACGAGAGAGGTTGCAAGTGGGAGTGCAGCTTGGAGAACTGCCATCATGTATTCATGGCTGACCCACACATTTGTGGAAAATTATTATAAATTGCTGATTATCATAACTTTTTCATGTTTTAAATTATGGTATGTCAAATTGACTTGAATCAGTGTGAAAAAGGGTAAAATTTTATGGTCTGGTAGGTATTTAGGTGTTAGTGGTATTGTACACTTATTCTCAGGTAAAGAGAGGGTTGGAGGGGGTAGGAGTAAGATGTTCTCTATGTGGGTTAGTTAGTCATTAAGTGTGTCAGGTATGGCCTTCAGTGACCTAAGTCTAAACATAACTAAAAATAACTCGTACATGAAAATTTAAAGTTGAAAATAATTATTCTTTGAAAAAGTTGAAGTTTAGAGAGCAGCACCACAGTGTACATTGAATAACATAGAAGGGAGAAAATTAAAGTGTATTGTAAATGTCTAGAATTCCTAAAATATTCTCAACTTTCAATTACACCATTTTCCACCATCACCCATTTTTCGAATGACATTTTCAAAATTTTCTAAGCATTTGCCTTAAATTATTTTCGGTAATATCCTCTACCTCATACATATCTTGATCTCAAAGCAACTGTATCCTAAACAAGGCCAAACACTCAAACCTCTGAGTTAAACAATTTTTCCACACTCCAGTTCCTCTTTCTCAGTAGAATGGTCTGTCATTGTCTACTTTTTCATTATTAATGGATAAGTTAAAACCCCCTGCACTATATATGCTGTATGTACATACATACAGACAGTAACATAACTGTAATGACTAGAAATGACACAAACCCTTTTATACATGAGTTAGTCTTCATAACAGCTATATGAAGAGATTGTCTGAACATCTTTCCTGTACTCAGCTGAACTAGCAGCTGCTGAAAACTAGGAAATGTGGTACAGTAGCTTCAAGGGTGACTCATTATGAGCCACCCTTTATCTTTAGTAGCACTATTATACACTTTACATCATTAGAACAAAGCAACACTTAACATCACTAAGAGTCATCTCAGAACTTACCAAAATTTTGTTAAAAATTATTTTCCATTTCTTTCTTTATTCAACCCTCACTATGTTGGTAATTGTTAAGATGAAATATTCAAAGCATCATCAAATACAGTACCTTTAATTCCTCTGTATGTCATTAACATACTCACTAATATACAGTGGCCCTCCTGAACAACTTCAAAGGTTGGTACCAAAATGGGGCAGATATACAGTAGATGAGTCAAGTCAGCTCTAATGGAAACTGGGAGGCTGACTGGCCTAATAAAGTTTTGTCAGACCATCCCAAAAATTACTTTTAAATAACATAAGCAGATGTAACATACCCTTGCCTGTTTGCAGTCTTTATTTTCATAATTCTCATTACATAATGTTGAATCAACATAAGTAATATTGGCAACTTATCTCGCTTGAGCTTGCTGAAGCATCAGCTACTATTCACTGAATGGAAGGAGATGTCAAGTTGAACGCTTTGCAGTAAAATGCAGGGATGCTGGTCCAGGGAAACCTTATCACTACACACAAGACAGCAGCTCTAGTTTGAAAATGTAAACAGACAATGATCTCTAAAGTACAATTGTTTGCAATATACTCTGGCAGTATGGGGGAAAGTGTCATGAGTGTTTACTGATATAAATCCTCCCTGAGCTCTTGACTCAGAGTTACAAAGGTTAAAAAGCCGCTCAGTAGTTGGAAGTCGAGTCTAAAAGAAATTATGGCACAATATCTCAATGTCTTTGGATGGTTTGAATCATCAAGATAAGAATTGTGATTGTTCAGGGACCACCGCACCATCTATCTCTTTCGTCACACCTCATAAGTATTGTTTTCTACATGTAAGTTGTTGTTATTTATGAAAGCCTTGTAATTTTTGGTCTTCAGAATAGTAGTTAATCTTTATATACATTCATTCTATCTTTCCCTTACTTTCTACACTTGTCTTACACCATCCTCATGTGCCACAGGAAAAGGGGAAGAGAATTAAAGGTAATATATACAGAGAAGTAAAATATGGGAAATGTTATATGCTGAAAAGAATAGTGGATTTTTTGTTCTGCTCAACACAGTAAACCAAATCATTACCAAGTTACCCTAGTATAATCTTCTGTACTATATTCAAAAGAGCATTAGTCATATATGGTACACAGTGACGACCATGCTCCTCACTTAACTTATACACATCCCAATAAGTTATCCACGTTTCAGACGCTAGACACATGAATCAGTATCTTGGTTGCCCATCAGTCTCTCTCGGTTTACCTCATCTGAGGCAAAGAACCTTCCCTCATCACTAATCTTTACAGCACTTCCCATAATTTAATATGTTCTAGACAGAGCAAATGTGACTATTTTTGTATGTCACTTTTTTGTTTGAGAAATATCTTTTACATATAACTTGAATATATGTATTTATAAGGAAAGTCTTTTATCTTGCCCAGTACCCCTTAGCTGAGCATCAGTAATATGTAGCAGCTGCACTTAAAAGTTTGTATCTGCAGTATTGAGAATAATGAAGTTGGGAGAATTTTGGAATGATTCGATATAGGACAAAATTATGACAACACTTAGAAAGTAAAAACTCTGAAAAGGAAAGCTGAATGAGAATGGTAATTTTATATAAATATGTATAATAATATTTCCTTGGGCAAATAAGCACCACATGTTTTCCCTTCTCATTAATCATTTATTTTTGTTAATGTAACAGATTTTTTCTACTGTGGAACTCCCATTCCACAAGAAGACCCTAAATCCTTGTTTACCTCTCATCACTTTATGCAACTTACTCATAGCTTAATATTCGCACCTTATTAAATACCTCCCATCATGCTCTCTGCTCATTCACACACTGCCTCTTGGATATCTGTTTCCCCTACTTTTAGTATGTCCACCACTTTGGTCTTCCTCACAACATCCATCCCTGAATTATCCTGCCACTCTTTCTTTTCAGTTTGTCCCGACCACTTTAGCAAAACCTGATTAGTTATGTCCATCCCTTATTACTTCTACATCTCCTATTTCTCTTATTCTCTGGAATTTGGTCTACCCAGCATACAGTATTACTCTTTAACCACAAAATTTTTCAATCGATATGTCTCTTCCTCCTCCTTTATCCACAGTAATGATATACTTACATGCTCGTCCTTGTCAATATGGCACAGATTGGCTGGAATAAAGAGAAAACACACACACACACACTCCATTCTCAATTCATTTGTTCATTTAAACTACTGAAAGAGATGTGTTCTCAGGTTTTTATCTATAGTCTTACGTTAATTCATTTTTTTAATAGAAAATCCTTTTCAAATGAATATAACATCACATGACTTAAGGTGATGTTAGTTATACTCCATCTAAGTCAATCACACGGTCATTCCCCTTCCATAAAAAAGTCCCAAGATATCCATTCAGTTTATCCTGTTCCTTTGTACAGCCCAGCACCACTCCTCATCAGGGCACCCATCCCCTAAACCACTGAAGACAAAATTTTCAAGTTACACAGGCACACCAAAGTGGATGGCGTTAAGAGTGTGTGTTGTGGCAGATTACCGGGTGACGTGTGAATCTAGACAAATAAAACCAGCTGTTGTGCATGTTGAGTCATGAACGTACACATACAGTATACAAATATGAATAGGTTTATTACTGGGTTTTTTTTTTTCATGATTAATATAGGATGACTGGGTGAGAAAGAATAAACACACACAAGCATGGTTTATTATTATCTGTAAAAGATTTGTTCTGGTATGGTATTTCTTCTCCTGAACAAAACCCCAAATCTGTTTTACACTTTGTTACTACATAATAGCCAGTACCACAGCCTTCTGCTAGAGAAAAGGAGACAACCAGTGATATTGGTGAATATATAGGAGAGATGTACAGTAATTTAGATGCTGGAGAACTATGTAAGGGGAGTAAAGTTAAGGAGAGCTGCTGCCATTGGTTCCTGGGTGGTATTGTTGAGAAGCTGATCATGTTATTCCTTAGGTGTGGGCAGTGTAAGAAGTACATGTTATTCAAGGATGCAAGTGTCCAATGCATTCAGTCTCGTATGAAGAAATGGACTTATGAGCAAGTTTTAGGTGGTTGGGAACATTTAGATACCCAGAATTGAGAAAATAATTTTAGCATGGTCTCACCTATTGACTATTTAATAATGAAGCCATCTTTTACTGAAATCTGATGTCTGAAGTGAACAGTAGGTAATTTTGAAACTGCAGGATTTTTTTTACATTGTCATTTATTTGTTTTGCAGAGTCATGAGGATATTTATATTAATGGTGCTTTATTTGTTTTACAGAGTATGAGTTCAAATTCCTACGACATTGACAACATAGTGATTCCATACAGCATGGCAGCCTCAACCCGTGTAGAGAAGCTGGAGTACAAGGAGATTCCTACTCCCAAGTGGAGAATAGTTCCCCTAATTCCCAACAATGTGCACAGTGCAACATGTGGTACTAGTCAGGAAGATGAGGTCAGTTATATTTTTATAGTTCACTTTTATACAGTACTGGGAAACCTCCATTAAACAAACTATATAGAGATGAAATTATGTTATAGAGGCTGTTAGATGTGAAAACTCCATCTAATGGATTATATGGAGAGAGAAGTCCTTTATGTGGAGGTTTTACTGTACCTTTTTCTTTCTTGTATCCACACTATCAACTTACATCTTCTAGTATTAGTCTTTCGGGTATAATCACAGTAACTAAGTTGTCTGTGGGACTGATTCATACGGATACATCAACATCCATTATGGGTATGTAGTGTATCCATTATCCATGTCTGGTAGAGATGTTATTGTCTTTTCTGATATGCCTTGTCAATTTGTCTGGTTTATGATGAAAAGGGAAAGAAATAATTTAAAACTCATGATTCAGAGGAAATTTTATATCTTCATTTAATTTTGTTGTTGCATATTTTATTAAGTCTTTATTTTAGGAAAGTACAGTACTGTAGTATGGATTATATTTTTTAACAAAGCCTATTCTCTTTTTCCACAGGATGAAGACATCAGTGAAGAAACAACAACTGCGCGTCATAATCGTAGTGAAGAGCTGGAACGTAAAAAGTTCCTCCAGTACCTCCACGTGCATGTAACATCTAGGTCTTCCCGCTCTCGACGAACAGATTCCTCAGGAACCAACACACCAGGTGAGGGCCTAATTTACTACCCACTTCCAAGGAATTTAATGGCAGAATTTAGAATTTAACATGGCCTTGGTTTTAATGGTCATCTTGTTTATTGCTTGATGGATAATTAATTAGAATTTCAGCAAGTGTTAGAAAATCTGTAACACATTGATCAGGTCTCCATGGCAATGAATTTTTTAGAGGGATTTTTGGCATAGTAAACAATAGATTTTACACATATACACTTGCATTGTATTATCTGAAATCATTTTTGAGGTTGTCATACTTTCATACATATCTTGATAAAACTTTAATCAAGAAAGTGAATAAAGAGAAGATAGGATGGCCTTAACTCCCTCAAACATCACAGGAAATAATCACACTGGGAATTCTGATGTGAACCGGTACTATATTGAACCTTAGTTATATCAAAGACCTAACAATTATATGAGTGTTAATTGGTGATGTTCTTGCATTTCAGACCACCCATTATCTCCCAGGCCTCCTGATCCAGCAAGTGACACAATCTCACCTTTGGCCACACCACCCACCACACCTTTAGCTCCTTCAGAAGACTCCAATCAGTCCTCATCTCTCCCAACCATTGCTACTATACCCAATTCTTCCAGCAGTTATCCTGTCTCAAGTATACCTAGTTCCAGCTTTACCACTCTGTCCTCTCAAACTGGGATGATAAATAGTTCATCACAACTATCTATATTACCTACTACATCCCAGACATTGCCTAACCAGCTCCTTATCCATAACCCCCAACTTGGAAGTCCTGTATGTACCCAAATACCAACGTCAACCTCTATATCCTCTTCCGCCTCTCTTTCTACATCAGCTTCTGTCTCAACTCTTTCATCTCTTCTACCTGGAAGTCGACGGAACCGCACCTTCAGTAGCAGCAGCAGCAGTAGAACCCGTGGTTTCCTCAATATAGAGGAAGGCTTTGCAGAAAGGTTGGAGGTAAGTTAGATGTATATTATATCTTGAAAGAAAATACCATTTGTAATGTTGACCTTCTCTTTGTCACCATGGTTATGATTGACAGAATTAGGTACAGTATTCTTTTCTTAAATTGTGGAAACAGAAGGCAGCTAATAGCCTTCTCTGGGTGATTTATAGACCAACATAAAAGGGATCTTCTAGATATAATGTCAGTATTATATTTTCTTTGTGTTTAATGTACAGTCACTTACCAATCCAGGAACATGAACAGGTAGCTCCAACTGTCTGTATTGTTACCAAATAGAAGACAGAGGGAGAATATAAGACAAGTGTATGAATGTGCAAATAGTTTTATCACAGTGATGAGAAATGAGCGATTGATTCTATGATGAGTGAAAGGAACTTGGATGTCTTGTTTTGTGCAAAATATAACTGAAGGGCAAAGGAAAATGAGATGAGTGGATGGGATGGCTACATTAGAAAAGAATGAAATGGAAGCAGCAGCAGCAGTGTCAAGTAGTGTTAGGATATAGCTGTTCTGCTGAAGGATGATACCAATTCATGAAGTGACAGACAATTGAGGTAGGTATTTCAGATCTTATTTTGGAAAGGAATACCTTGGCAGAACACATCCAAAGGAAGGAAGTGCCTCTGTCTCTTTTTTTACTTCATATTTCATGTTACTACTCATATTCTCCATCTGATGAGTAGAACATATTGTGACAGTGAGTGGAGCTTGGCATCTGTATGTGTTATAGTATCTTTATTAATGTGTTTAACTCAACTGCAGACACACATTGGATATACATATTTTGTAGTTTTAAGACTGCCTCTGTTTAATTATATTCTAAATTCGTTGTTTTGACAGATACCTATAATCTTAATGACTGGCTATAAATATGAGATGAAGGGACTACAGTACTGTACAGGTATCTGTCAAAACAATGAATTTACAATACATACAGGTATATATATGGGGTCCTGGAGTATGAACACCGCCGATACGAACGAGGTCCCATATGGTCGATTATTTTAAGAATCTGACATAGCTACAACTGGTTTGTAGTATCAACATACATGAACTAGTTTGCATTGCGTATCGGCAAGGCAGAGTGGTGGGTGGGGAGTAATGCATCAACCAACCTCATGCCTTGAGGGAGCGTCAGTACACCTTACCTTCACCCGAGTAATGTGTGTGATCAAGTGCAAATTGTTGTTTTTTGCTTATTAACTCAATTTTTCTGCCCTCATCATGGCTCCCTAATGCAAGTGATAGTAGGGCATCCAAGAAAAGGAAAACAATTACAATGGAAGTGAAAGTTGATGCAATTAAGCGTTTTGAAAAAGGTGAAACACCCTCACTCATTGGTAAAGTGTTGGGCTTCAGTCGGTCAACGATCGGAACAATTTTGAAAAAAATAACAGAAAATTCTTGAACATGTAAAGGATCTACACCAATGCACTCAACTGTGATAAAAAACAAAGAAGTTGATTGTTAATTGAAATGGAAAGATTGTTAGTGATATGGGTGGAAGATCAGCCAGCCCAAGGTTTCAATGTGTTAAACTTTAGTTTTTATGATCCTTTACTGTATTTCATCATTCAATTTCTTCTTTTCTCTTAAATTATGTGATTCGAGATGTATAAAAGGACATACGCTATGATATAGTGCATACATTTCCGACTTAACGTCCTCAGGAACGGAACTCATTCGTAACCCAGGGACCCCCTGTATATATATAAGGTAGGTTTTGGTTGTTCATCCCTGTTTTAAATGTCAGAAAAAGTACATGTTGAACAGATATGTGCACTGTGCACTTTTGAGAGTACTGCAGTAGGTGGATGTTCTTGTCTAAGGTTGATGTTTACCTTCAGGGTGTGGTGCCGTATGAACAACGTGTCTTCCCCCTAAATGAAACCGAGTATATAATGATGACGAGGAATATGGATGACTGTGATATTGGCCCCCCAAGCCCACCCTTAGATTCCTCCGCACATGAAACAAACAACATTCAAGAGGTACTGTATAATTTACCTTTATACCGTGTCAACTGACGTTGGACACAGTTTTTAGTTTGTTGATACATAAATATTAGGGTAAAGAGGCTTGATTATAATATGGGATTTCAGGACCAATCTATCATTTCTCCCTTATCTTGATTTATATATTTCTAATTCCTTTCCTCCATATTAGTGAATTGCAGTAAAAGCCTCTTTATGTTGCAGAGTGGCCGGAGTTCCCCTATGAGTGAAGTAACAGATTCAGCACCAGAGGACGATGGAAGATATGATGATACAGCAGCTCCCAAGTGGACCATCTCTGGACTCAAGGATGCTACAGGCCAGTGTGTGTTACAGATACACCGTAACTGACGGTGGCAGACCTCGGATAAGTCTGACTCAAGGAATTGAATTTTTCTAAGATGTACAAAATTCCAAAATAATGAGCAAAATTTTAGATGTGGACTTGGGCTTCACTGTACATCCAAGAAAGTGATGCTGTATTGGATCCTTATTATTAAACCAGATGTAAAGTGAAGAAGTGTTTTAACTTCAGGCCTTTGCCAAAAACCTTAACAGTGATACTGGGCTCTTAATATTCAATATGGCTGTAGAAAAAAATTACGGTAAGCTTGTAACAGCTTTTACTTCGGTATAGTTTCATTAAGTGATACTGGTTTAATTGTCGCCTTTATTAGGCTGTTGAATATGCAGTTGGGCACGCAATGTGAAACATCATCAAAAGTTTGATTAATCATGTAACGGGTGTTAAAGGGTTCTCAAGGAGTCGAGAAGACAAATTCCTCTCACTGTTGAGGGGCAGTTATCATTCTGTTTTCAATGAAAGCCTTTGTTATTTAGTTTCTTAGTAACAAGGATTTATACCAAAAAAAAATTTTTAATTAACTTGGTAACAATGACTAAGTCATGTTTATATTACGTATGTGGTACAGATTATTTGAATTTATTTAATTATGGTGGCATATCAACCCTCTCGAGTGACTGGGCAGGGAGACCGAAGAAGAACAGAAGAAGGAAAGGAATGATGCTTTGGTAAAGTTGCAGATTTTTAGATAAATCAGATTACAGGAATGAAAACTTAGGTTGTTGTTACATGTAGGTGATCATTTTATTGATGAGTGTTACATTACTAAGTAGAAGAGAATAGCATACTGCATTAAGTTAGTGGGGTATATGAGCTAGTGTAGGTTATCCAGGAGTAACATGTATGAATGATGAATTGATGGTATGAATGGAATGTCTAAAAAGACAGCAGATAGGGATTGGGTAGTTTAAGATTGTGTAAGTGTTTGAAAAAGAATATTTTAAAGTTACAAAGATTGTGTAAGAAAATATGAGGAGGGCAATTTCAGGATATGAGTTGCAGTGAAGGCCTTAAAATTAGTTTTGGCTAAAGAATAAGTGCTAAGTTTATCCTCACTCGGTGGTAACTGAGTCACTTGGTCTTACTAAGGTTGAGTGTACAGGCAACAGTGGTGGGATGGATTAAGAAAGTGAGTGTTGTGGGATTGAGAAGTGGAAACGAGATAAGTATACAGACACTATATTTGATCTTCTGTTAATAATGCCAAAATGTTCATAGTGGCTTAAAATAATTTTTTTCTGTATTTCATGTATAACTCTCAACCATATACAGTATACAGATAACTCAACTTAAATATATTAATTAATCATACAAGTTTATTGTCAAAGGATTACCTATTATTTGCCACAGGGCTGGTTGGTGTTCATTTAACAGTAAGATCTTTATGGGAATGATAAGTGCAGGATAGGAGTAGACATATAAACCTGTTACTTGTACAGTAATTGTATGGGTTAGCTTGAATTTGTTTGTTAGCTACCAATGTTAACAGTACATTCTACTGTTTGTAAACCAAAGGAAATCTTTATCAATGCACCTTGGGTCAATTCATATCATAGGCCTGAGATGTCTTGGACCCTATGCTTGATTCATTGCTAAAACTTGGTACTAAAGTTGAGATACAAGAATCTGGACTTCTAAGCATTTGCTTAGCTGCCTATTCTTAAGTATATCTTGGTATTTAGTATTTACGGAAAAGGAATGAGTGTGTATCCTTGATCTGTATCCATTGCTCATTAGGTACTGCAACAGTTAATAGAGCTCCAGAAAGAGGACCAATTGTTTATATGAGAAGAATTGTGGCCTCCAGTAAAACTTCTTTGGTCCTCTCTAACATGCTGTGCTTCACACCTCCAATGGTTACACAGCTAAATATACGCTTATGTAATTGTGTCATGGACTCTCCCAATAGCCCATTGTACTTTTTCATTTTCACTTTTTCACAAAGGAAATGACAAGTGTTCAACTTTCTTCATTAGTGTTTCCCTTCTCTCTATTTTCCTTGATGTAGGTGATCTCTGTACCAATTGTTCTGTTTTAGTCTAGAGGACTAATGAAAGGTATTATTCATATTGTTTGCTCTGTTCAAAAAAAAAAAAGTTGCTCCTGTGGGGCCTTGTAATAAAGTTATTGTAAAATAATATCAATAGCAATTGACATATTTGTACCTTGTCACCGTTACCCATCTGAGCAGGACTTAACTGTACAGTATTTGCTTTCTAAATTAGAACACTTTCTCATTTTATGAATGCAGATATTCAGTTTTCAGTTATTTATAATTCAAGTCCTTAAGATAGGATGGGTACAATGGCATCTTTGTAAATAATGTATAGGATCCAATTGAACACAGGTATTTATATCATTCAATGTCCCATTGAATTTAATACTTGTTGCCTGATTGAAAAAGCACTGTCCTAAGTCATTTAAATGAAAAGAAAAGAAAAAAAAATACAAACTGATTATTGAGTTTTCTTATTTCCATATACTGTACGTAAGGATTACCTGTGGAGTGCAACCAGCATGTGTTTTTATAACTTGGCAGTGACTCGTGTACAGTCAACAAGACTACAACCCAAGAAATAGGATATTTTTTCATGACTAACCATAATTACCAAGATGAGAGTACTGGTATGTGAAGGTGTCACTTGAGAAGTGGTTGAAAGCATGAAGTCCTCACCCATTTCATGGTTTACCAAGATGAGAGTACTGGTATGTGAAGGTGTCACTTGAGAAGTGGTTGAAAGCATGAAGTCCTCACCCATTTCACTGATGCCTATGTGTACCACTACTCGTGCTCCCATTGGTTACAAGTAGGGAAACACCACCAGGCCTGCTCAGTTCGTCACCTGGTCATGCAGAGTGATCTCTTGGTTTAATGTGTCTAATTACATTACTTATGTATATCCAGAATAACACACAAAAGCCAAAAAGTTAGCGTGAAAAACCATAGGCGGTGAGAAATTAGCATTAGAAAGGTAATTAAAATATTTCAGATGTCATCTGGACAACTACTAAAAACATCAAACTGCGGACAACAGATCCCTAGTCAGCATGTTCAGGAGTACATATACAGGGTATTGAAATTTTTAACAAAATCACCGAGAAAAGATTATGGCCAAAACAGTGAGCCTTATCCCTTACAGGATTTTAGGCCTTCCAAATTTTTTTCTCAGTTAAATTTAAAGTGTAACTATTTACTGGAAGTACCCTGTACATCCAGAATAACACACAAACAGCAAAAGGTGACCTTTAAAACCATAGTTGGCAAGTAATTATTGTTGCAAAATTAATTAATATTTTTTTAGACGTCATTTGGACAAGTAATTATAGATGTCAAACTGGAGTACATACACTGTACAGGTACTGAGATTTTGAAAAAAATCGGGAGATCAAGATTGTGCCCAAAACATTATATCCAGAACACAAAAAATTGCCCTCGAAAACTTACAGGTGGTGAGTAATTAGCATTGCAAAACCATTTAAATTTTTCCAAGATTAATTAAGGCAAGTAATTACCAAATTTACAACTTTTTAACCCTAGATTGTTAATCATCATTTTGGCAAGTACTGAACCTATACAAAGATTTTGAGCAATATTGAAATTTCAAAATCTACTATACAAAAATTTTAAGCAAAATTAAAATTTCAAAATCCATGGACCAAACCAGCAATCTTTTTGTCAGAAGCACAAGGCTGAATTAGGTAGTTGTTGAAAATATGAAATATATTCAAGGCTCATTACCAGAACTAATTACAGGCATTCCCCATTTTTTGTAAATCTAAGCACATTCCCCAGACTCCAATTATAAAAAAAAGGCCTTAATGTGCTACAAAAAAAAACGTTTTCAATGAGAACTTTTGCTGTAAACAATGAGAATTAGCCAATAATGAACATAAGTGAAATACAGTACAGTACAATGATGATTTTATACTCGTGCTTACAGGAAAACAGTCGAGATTGGAAAAAAGTGAACGCTAAGACAACATCTACAAAGTGTTTCGGAAATGTTTCATAATTCGGAGGTGCATGCCTGAGACATACATAAGCATCAATGAGTGTTGACAATGCACCTGCAGTGACACGTACAGCTCATCGGATACAATTTGCGACCTTATTGGCTTGTGCAATATCTGCTATCCCAGTGACTGACAGATGAAACCTACACACATCAGGATACGTCAACAACTGTGGTACGTACATGCATGATGAGGATGCCCCAGCGCATGTTGCTCGAGTAACAATGGAATTGCTAAATCTTGGGTATCCTGGCAGGAGGATGGCCCTATTCCATGGCCACTTCGATCACCTGACTTTAATCCCATTTACGTCTACTTGTGAGGTCACATTAAAAGTAAGGTCCCGAATTGTGGAGCAGAGTGCAAGACAGTACCACCAGCATTAGCAACACCCCCGGAATCTTCGAACGTGTACAACGGTCAGTTTTGCAATGGGCTGAAGCCTACATTCAGGAAGAAGGCCGAAACTTTGAATATTTACTGTAAAATCAATATAAGATGCATATGATTGTAAATAAATTGTATAAGCAACACTGGATATTTAATTTATGCTTATACCCCCATTTTTGTGAGGGATACGATGCCAGCCGTAGTTGTCGTTAGATATTACGACCAAACGTCTAGACTCGAAAATAATGTAAAATATTTTAATATAATATAATGACAATGACAGTTGTACGTCCGGGTTGTTGTAAGTTGAGTAGAGACTATAATTTGGTGAAATAAGTAGGCATGTATTTTCGTTATTATGTAGGAAAAAATTACAAATACAGTACAGGATAATTATTGTACAGTATCTCTTTTTTTTCTATTTAACTTTGGGGTATTTGTTTGCAAGTTAAAAATATGGGACAAAAATTAATATTTACAGAACTTCAAATTTTCATAGACCACTCCAGAGCTTCTTCAATTCATATGTTCAGGAATACAAAACCGAAAGTTAAATTTTGAACAAAACCAAGCTGGTTTTTTTTTTTTTAATTTGATACATGTAGGGGGTATTTAGTTAGTCGAGATAGGTTCTAATTAGGTCCAGTGTAACACAGGCAGCATTACCCCAAACACATGGAAAGCCAATATTTAATTGCTGAACATACAATTTTTTTTTACAGGTCTCATTAACACAATTACAACTTTTAGACACCAGTTCCTTAACCCCATCACTAAGTGGATATCCGTTTTAATATTTTATTTGGCTAACACCAGACAATTTTATTCAGAACAGAAGGAACTCTGTACACAATGGGTTAATAGGTTTAGGAGTTCCTATATAGTAGCTATTAAAATTTCTAAAATAAATAATTACACATACCATTTTCCTCAATTTGTTTGGTGGCAGGACTCTGGTTGGAAGAGCTTGGTTTACACTGGTGGTCAGTTCAGCACATCATGGTAGAATGATGACCAATGAATCCTAATAATTGTAATTTCCAATAAACTGACAAAAATAAAGAGAAGTACATAGAATTGGCTGGTTAATAAGAATTGTAAAAGCCACAGGGAATGAACTTTATTTCATCATCTACTGCAGGAAAAGACAATGGAAATTATTCTAATGCATAACTTTAAATTTCATTAATAAAATATCCTTTCTTACATATTGAACTGAGTGAGCACTACAACATAATACAGATGACAGTAACACCGAGGATACAAACATTTCTGTCTGGTGTAGGATTGAGGACCTCTGGAAGGTAGTGCTGGATTTAGTTTTCATGGGACACACTCGATCTAGTAAGCATCCTTCACAATATTCTCCTACCTAATGGTGATACGAACATGTGAACAGGCACTGGGAGGATCAAATAAATGGTACATACCGTCAATACAACAATACTTACTTGTTGACATGAATCAGGAGACTTGGGCATTGGGGTCAAGAATCCTCCCTGCAGCAGACTTATCCTCCTTCTTTAATGATTAACTCAGCAAAATTTGTAAAGTTTGTTCTATAAATAAATTTAAAACTTATGCATGTTTGACTAGAATATTGGATACATTATTCATTAATTTGTAAATATTTTCAAGGACCATTTGTATATCTGCTAAGATTAATATTTCACAGAGCAGACATAGTACAGTAATACATTTCAAAATCTGGTGCAGTAAACCCTAATTATTTTGTAATTTGCCATTAGATAATTTGTATCAATACAATGAATGAATACAAGTTCTTTTCTCTTCATGGGTCTCTCCACTTCATCACAGTTTCCCAGCCCCTTCCACCCCCCCCCCCCAAAAAAAATCTAGTTGTCCCATGGTGAGGAATGCCAATATCTCCCATCATTATTTACAACCTAATCTACACTAAGTCATGTTCAGTGCAATATTTTGTAGATGTTGACCTATTATAATAAGATCCAAACTCAACAGAGGGAATGAGTGGTTGTTAATCGGGGGGAGAACGTTTAATGTGTTGAAAGCTGCCAATGGGTCTTGTGTCTTGTCTGAAAATAATAATACACTTTTATTTACTGTACTGTATATAAAAAGTGAAACTCAGCAGGGAAATAATAAACAGTATACCAGTAGTTAATATCAATGAACAACCTGTATCTATATACAGTATTCACAATCTGGAGTAGATTGTAGTATGAATCTAGTTCTGGCTGTACGGTAATAGCACTGTACACAAGATGAAACTGGGAGAAGTGTGTGGTGGGCCTTTACAACCCCTCATCATGACAGACATTAACATAATATTTATCCAATGACTAGTAAAGTTTTTATGAGGTAAATTTTACACTTCTGTGTATATCTAATGTTATATACAGGCCGTAATACTGTATACATGGGGATAATTTTGGGACTGGATAGTTTAAGTGGTTCTTGAACTCTAACCCTTATTTCTGTAACTAATGAAACAAATTGTGATAGTACGATCCCTTTAGTGAAGAAACCTCATGTAAGAGTGAGGGTTTACTGCAACAATATGGGTCACTAAGAACATTATGGATACTGTACATGAAAAATAACAGTAACAGAAGGCTCTTTGGCTTATGTGGGCCACATGTTCCCTAACATATGTACAGAGCAATAAATTGCATATACAGTACTGTACTGCACTGCACATAGTACTTCTGCAGAATACCTACTGTGCCCTTTAACATCAGCAGTTACATCAAACAATGAAATTTGCCAGGTGAAGAATTCACATCTGTGTAAGGGGTTATGATTTTAGACATGGTACACCAAAAACAAATAAAAACTAATACACATTACATTAAAAATATTCACAACACACACACACACACACACACACATGGGGTATTTCCACACACATACTAGAATGCAGGGGTTTAGTATGAGCCAAACAAATGAAGAAAGCAAAAATTTTCTAAGGTTGATTAGTGAGCCAACAGAAACTCGGGGAAGTTCTGAAAATTCTGGAGTTTTAAAACTTCTGGGAAGGGGACTATAACAAGTACCAAACATTATGGCACATACCTGTATATAAAACCCATTACACAGAAGAAAAATCCATTTTATAATTAGTAACAATATGTTGGCTAACCTACAAGCAATAAGTCAGAAAATGTCACTCAGATCATGACCATGGAAGGCAGCACTACAACACCTAGTGATACTAATATGCATACAGTGTGTTGAAGTCTTTATCATAATCTGAAGGGAATTAGTGCTAACGGTGTAGCCACGAGCTCCACTTTTTTATGAATTTCCTCTAATCCTCTTTGTTTCTACTCTACCATCATGATCATTGCAATTTACAAGTATAAAATAAGAATAACAGTGAATGCATGAGGATCATATTGCTGGTGAGTCTGGCCACCCAGTACTAAGTAGAACAATGAATGCAGGCATGAAAAAAAAAAAATCTTGATTTTGTTTATGTGATTTGCTAACTGACCTTTACTTCAAGGTGCAATATGTACAATGACACTGGTGATGATGGATGAAGACATGAAGGTAAAAACACTACAGATACAACCTCCATTTACCTTGTCATAAAACTAATCACTCAACCTTCTTCTGCTTAATTGATCACCCCTTTAAAATCCATTCAGGAGCACTGTTAGGGGTATGATGATATGGCTATCTCCAGCTGAACTAATTGAACACATGATATATGAAAAAAAACAGCACAGAAGGAAATGGCACGGTGGCCAAACTGGTACTGATTCCCCATTTTTAACATTGAAAATAAGAGCCAAAGTAGCAGGTCTTCCCATCTATTCCACTCACTTTCTTTTTTCTTTCCTATCCTCATATTTGACCTGTGGCATAAATGATGAGTAATAATGCTGTGCACTATCTGGGTTCTTCTACTCTTAGATTTCAAGGAAGAAGTTATGTTTTAATGACTACATAGATAGATTAAGAACAATAATTTTGTTTATAAAAATACAAAACCAATGCCCAGTTCCCACGAGATGAAACAATACCATTCTTCAGAGAAGGAACTAAGTTTCTAAGAGCTCTTGATGATCATAGTCAACCAACCTTTATTACTTGTATATCACACCAAGTACAACCACAAGGCACTGCAGATTAAAATAATGCCTTTCAGCAGTGATGTCTTCGTTAGCCAGAATCTTTCAAACCCAGAACTCTCCGATAGCCGGAATTTAAATTTTCTCGGAAAATTGTTCCCAAAGCCGGAATTTTCCAGAAAATTCCAGCTTTGGGAACGATTTTCCAAGGGGCACACTTTCTGGAAAATTCTGAGAAAATTTTCTCGATACTCGGAACATTCCGGGGATGGGGGAGTTTTTTCCAGGTTTGAGAGATGAAAATCGGGCACATTTTCTGGAAATTCCGAGAACATTTTTCCGTTACACGGAAAATTCCGGGGACGAGGGATTTTTTTCCAGCTTTGAGTCGTTTCGTTACCCGGAAATCTCTCATTCCTGGAAGTGCTCTGCACCAATTGTTCTGGCTAACGGGGATATCACTGTATAAGTAATGCAATACAGTATTCTTTAGCCACATCAAAGCCCATGTTTGTAGTTAGTTTTGTTAAGGGCATTTACTGGTAATATCCTCTAGTACATTAACCCATTTCGAATTGATGTAATAGCTAATCTGCTAGACTGACTGATACAACAAACACTGGACAAAACCACAAAATTACCTTACAAATGAATATGAAACTAAAGAAGAACTGAGAGCGTAGTTTCATAGTAAGTGAGGTAGTGTCTTTCTGAATGAGCATCAACTAACACCAGGGATTTGTGGGGACAGATACAGGTACCAGATTCTAGCATGATACTGCCACTAACAAATCACTATGTGTAGATCATGTTATAAAGAGTCATGGGAGAGACTTTTACTTCATGGTATACACTCTTGATGTTCCTTGATATTATACTAGTAAAAGAAAAGACAGTCTGACGAACACTCAAGCCAAAAAGAAGAGGAAATGGTGTTAAAAATAATTGAAAGAATAGGAGAAAACAATAGATAATCTTTCTTGAACAGCTTAATAATCAAAGTATAAGTGCATTAATTCAAGACAACAACAGTAACGACAACACCGTGCTAAACATTCACAGTATAAATAGGCAAGATGACCCGCACGTGTAGTGTGAAGGCGCAGTGAAAAGTATTAATGTCCCTCAAGTCAGGCAGAGCTAGGCAGTGTAGGTAAGGGGGAACCATTTCATTAAGCTCATCTAATAGCTAAAAGGGAGATGCTAAATTATTACCCCTACTTCCTTAACAGAATATGAAATAAAAAAGTTTGTTGTTTACATTGTAGGCAGTAATTTCCATCTTCGCACACATATTCTTCCATTCTACAATCAATACTTTTCATGGCACATATTCTATTCACTAATCACTAGAAAAAAACAACTGATGTATCTGCTGGTTCATGAAGAGCTGAGAGTAATTCTACTTCTAAAATCTGTCTAGTATATTGTAGAAGGATTTCTTCAGTTGTCTTAAGACTCACCTTGAGCAGATTGGAAGTTTCTGAACACACCGTCTAAAATGTTTGATCTATACACCAAAACAGTGACTGAATATCTAGTTCTCACTAATCTGTCTATACTTGATGTCAGAGAATCACAACTTCCTGTGTCCTCAGTCACAGTAATTAGTTTAATATGTAACTTTTATAAACTACCCTAAGAGTCTGGATCAAACTACCGCACTAACATTTAAAAGTCTTGGTAACATAATGCAATATAATCTTTGGTATATGCCTTTTTAGTTTAATTACAGTCTACATAATACATGTTTATCACATACACTAAAATAAAACAGCCTTTTGCTGTTTATGGTTTGAGAAAGAACCTTTTGGCTGCAAGAAATCCATGTATATCTTACAAACTTTGACAACAACATAACTAAAATAAATAAATAATTTTATATTCTGGCAGACTATGACTTGTTAAAAATCTACATATTAAAAATAAATCAAAGTAAAAACTATTGAGGCAACGTGTGATTTTCTTGAACATATCTCTTAATTATATGCAATGCCATTTCTTTTCAGTTCGATTCTTATGAGGAGAGTCACATCTAATACATAAATTACTCCAAACACATAACATACTGTAGACTATCTATCTCATATCCTGGTATGAGAGTTGTACTGGATATAACATTCCTTCGTACTGCACTTCAACAAGCCATGTGTCCAAGTACGAGGCTCCCACGTGTGACTGGAGTGTTCTTTGTTTAGTCCCCCTGACCCCAGAACTTTGATGGTGTAAATCACAGAAGTTTATGGTTAGATTCACATGTTTTTCAAGTCAATCACAGGTTACCTCACTGTTAGGTTCAGTTATGTAATGATCAGCTATGCCTCTTTCATCTACTTTCTGCCTACTTCTACAGTTTGTGATAATTTGTGATTATTTTTACTTCAAGAATAACAACTGTAAGATAATTTACACTCTAACATTGCCTCTGTTGGCTCCCACAGTGCAGGACATTGAGCCGAGGTTCTTAAAAGGGCGGTCATTTGATGTCAAGTGTAAATTTTCCCACTTCTACATGTAACCTTCTAAGTTTCTAAATGAGAAAGGTGATACTTTATAAAAGTCTCACCTTCATATTAATATCAACTTCTATATTATCAACATTACCTTCAAGTTAGGATTTGTTAATGGTATATTATATACCATGTATACAGACATCGTAATTGATGAGTAATTATCTACAGTTAGTAATGCAGTATACATAAAGGGTAACAGTGTAAATATGTCATGTCTTATTTACTACAGATTCATCTACCAAAAAAATCTAGGTTTTGTTAGTCTACACATGCCAATACACTACAATAATTCGTTACTGAACATCTAACACATTGTTTTCTTTGCCTGTAACTACAAATTTCACCACAACTGAAAATGATGAATGGAAGAAAACACCGTGAACAATATCTATATACTGTATACTGTACATGAATTGTCTCATATCTTAGACTCTGACTTCTCCTTCATCTCTTGATATGGTCACAAATCATATAGTGTAATGAAAACATTCTGAACAATACCTAATCCATGACACATCCACTATTTGCCGGGCCAGTCTGGCCAGTAGTTAATGTGGTAGCGTAGAGTTGAACCCTCAAACAGGCGGTCCATCCAGTTACTCAGCCCTTCCAGCAGTTGTTCCTCAAAAAGTATGTTGCTGTAGTAGTTGAGCAGGGGTTTCTGAAGTAAATAGTACAAAAGACGTTACTTCCTAAAACAGGTTCCCTCCATCTATAGATTAAAATTAAAATATAGGTACGTACAGTATTTCAATCATAGGCAAGACTAGTCACCTAACACATGATGCATGGAGTGAAGGTACAAATCTTGTCTTACACTGTCTAAAACATGTACTTCTTTCTCACATCTTTGTGTTTCTTACTCTCTATATAATATAAACTGCTCTTAAAAACACAATTTATGTGGCTTCTATTGTGTTTACTGTACCTAATGTTGATGCACACATAAATATGCAAACCATATGACTCACATCAGAAGCAATTGAATCCTTCCTCTTGTCTCCCACCTCCACATCAGAATCTGTCTCAGAATCATTGTCACTGAAGCCCATGAAGTCTCCACTGATGCCTGATCGCGCATGCTGCAAAATTGCAATCAGAAATACGGGTAAATGATCAAATATCCACAAAATAAAGAAATTGTATAGGAAGATGTACCGGTAACCAAACAGTCGTAAGTAGAAGATATTGTGTATCAACTGTGAGGCCAAGTGTGATACAAGGGCCAGGCAAAGCTGATAAAACATTACTTACCATGAACCAGCCACCCAGTACTTAAAATCACTTTACTGGCTACTCCTGAACATTTGCCAACAACCAAAATACTATTCCTTTGTAATAATGTATTGAAAAAACTCAACACGAAATTGTACAAAAATATCAAGGGACATTACTGTACATGCAAATGCATACTCAAATAGAAATACCTATACTGTATTTGCATACTCAAACATAAAGATTCAGAGGGAAAAGTATACATACACATTGCTCACACACAGGAAAGAAAATATGCAATGAAGCAGAAAACCAGACATATGTATAATATAAAACACTGTGAGGCATTTCTTTAAAGATAAAAGATAATGGATGAATCATCATTAACTATATTGATACACCAAATCAATGATGAGAATGCAGACCAATGAGTAACTGCAAGCTTTCAAGAACACATTACAAGTAGTTTGGGAAGAACAGTCCTTGTAATTTTGCTATTATGGATGGTGTGTTAGAACAGTTCAGAAGAAATCAAAGACAATACTCGTAAAGTATACGCTGACATCGTGCACATGATTTTAAACACATCCAATTAATTAAAAACGAATAATTGAAAATGCACTGATCCACTGCAGATAAATTTTCACTTAAAAGTGAAGTTCTCATATATAGTACCATCAGGAGATGATGTCATAAGATTAAATTAATACCAATAATGGCATTCCAAGAACTTTATCAACAGCATCAATAATGGATTTTTCCCAAGATCAAATCTATGGCATGAAAAATATATTGAAAAGTTATCTAGTGTGAGGCAACACGGCCTAACATATGTAACACTGTAGCTGAGATCTCCTTAATCCAATTTATCATATAAAGAACCTCTATAAGTATGGCAACATAATGTAGAGGAAACATACAATACTGTACTGTACACCCATCACCAGCTGGCAGTGATACTGTGGGCCTCATTATCCATCACCTTCATGTTTTACCTCCCCTCTACAACTCACTACCCAAGCAGCTGCCCTATGACGGGGTGGTCCTGGCATAACAACCCCACACTATGGCATTCCTCCGTCCTCTCCATCACCTTTACTGTCTAACCTTTCCTATGTTATGTTCTATCATAAAGACTCATCATAAACAAGCCTCTGGTGTGTATGGTTAAGAGAATGATGCATATAAAGAGGGCACTTGTTTACTGATTGTCAGATGCATTCAACCTCGTACAGTAATTCATTACCTTTAAAATAGTAATACTTGTATTATAAATTAAAAGAAGCTTGACTACCAATACAAACCCCATGAAATATACCGTACTAATATTACTACAGGTATTGTCAAAAAAGAAAAAGATGCATTTCAGTATAAAATTTCACTGTACAAAATTTACAGTACAGTGAAGTACTGTGCTTTCTACTGCACCCAATTAGCCATTCTGAGAAAGTTGGTCAATGTTTTCTTTAATGATTAAGTTTATTACATAATTTTGTGAAATGTTTAACACTCAAAAAAAAAAGAAAAGAAAAAACAGCAATACAAGACAGACAGACCAGTTAATACTGTTAATATTGTATAAGACCAATTCAAGGGAGAGAAGTTATATGGGCAAAGATCCTCTCATACAGTAGCCCTACACTCCCCTCACAGAGACCAACTGACCTATACCTACAACAGACCAAATGTTCTTAAAAAGTAGTACTGTTGTTCATATGACTGTACTCAAACAAATGTTATGGCTGCAGGCACTTAAAGGACATTGGGTTGCTGTTTACTGTATATGATGTAGTACAGAGCAGTATCTGTACACACACATATCATGCCAACGAAGGGTTAAGAAGTGGCGAGTTAAGTGACTTTTAGTGAACTTTTGTACTCTGAGTTACAAGCACAATGTTAACATACAAACTGGGAATATGAAACCACATTCCAATATTTAGGGGCATAAAACAATGATCGTATTTGGAAAAGGTTGTCTGATCATTATTTCAGTCGTGAACATGAGAAATGTACTGACCCTTCGACGAACTCCTTCTGTCTCAGATGTTGCTGGATTTGGAGTGAACTGAAAGTAGCAATGCTTATAGTAATGCAAACATTCTTGTAAAGAAATTTGAAGAGCCAATACTGTACTATGTTATCAACCAGGTTTCTGAATGTAGTAATGGCACTTTCAACACAGGTACAATATATTTTATAGTAAATAGAAACTTAACATTTTAAATACTTTGAAAGATTTTTCATTGAAGTCGTGTATTTTTCTTATCCATACCAACACCATCTACCATGTACAGTGCAATTAATACATCTACTAAAACAAGACTGGCATTTATTCACAAGAAAGGGAAAATTGTTTATCATCTGCAGAATGATGGTGACAAGGTAACAAACACCCCAAGTGGCATAACTGTATAAGTACAGCACAGCCCCGCACTACAGCTTAGAGAAAGTGAGTTTGAAGTCACTTTTTAATCTCTGTGGTTTCAGTCCCTCTTGATCCACCCCACATAGTGTAGGCAGGGAAGTAAAGGTAAGAAATAGGAAGAAATATACTGAAGTTATTTTATCAATGAGGAGCTATTGACCTCAAAATCATTATTGAAAAGTTTTCTCTTTTTTCTATTAATTATAAATATTTTGCCCAGAAGCTAAAAAACCCTTTAGTAAGGAACAAGAGCTTTGTACAAATGCACCAAAAGCACGATAGTAATCAAAGGTGAGAAAAGTTCCGTAAGCACATCATTTGCCCCGGGTCTTGGGTGCCTAACACAACCCACTATGGAATAAGAAGAAAGTAGAAGCTAGGACTGGAACATGAAGTACTCCATCAGCCAACCACTCTTGTATACATGTGATGGTTGGTGGAAAAAAGAAGAAATCCAAGAAAAAAAAAATTCAGGGAGATCATAAGAAGTATGTCTGGCAAAAAAGTACTGTAAGTCTAGAGTGTGTGGTTGAAAAATAAACCATTTGGGTATGAAAAAAGAGTTGGTGTTTTCAAGGAGATGATTGGGGTGAGAACCACACTTACACATCAACACTCACAACTGTTACCCACTCCCATAAGTAGAACTATGCCCACATTCATAAGCACACCAATAACACACCCACATCTTTGAGCTGAATTCAGTAAGTCCTGCGGATAATAATGTAACATATTTTGTACTTGTAACTTTAGAATTAGATCAAAGTGAGACTCAGGCTAAGACACACATCTTTCCTATTGCAGGTGTTACTGTGCCAAATGACATCTTTACATGCAGGATGTGAAAGTTTTATGGAAATGTGATCAATGAAGCAACATTTTGACTAGCTGAGGCAGAGACCAAGATTAAGCTGGACATCTAAACCCAGTGACAGGTGCCCTGGCAATACTGGATGTCAACAATGGTCAAAAGCTTTGAAAGGAGAAACATGTGAGTAGTTTTGCAGAAATGAGGTTATTTTAATATTACTCTCAGGTCAAGACTTCAGCTTCATGGTGAGTGTTTGGTGCCAAGTAATGTTACTAAAAATCAAACTGTGTAAAAGGAATACAGTACAAGGGGGCTGCAGCCTTATTTAGAGATTGAGATTAATATGCACTTGCACATCATCATGGATACCTTATTACTAAAAGATGTATACCTGGTAGCCGCTGTATAGACTAACAGAAATGAAGTTGTAGTGACCTTATTACATAGTGAAGAACATGTCACAATGCACATTTGCCCCATGACAGGTACCTTGATGTCAAACAGTCATCCTAAGATTTGTAGAAATTAGGTGGAACTCCTTTAGGTTGAGGAAGGTAAGCAGAGTAAGAGTCCTATTACCAGTGAGGAAAATTATGCCAAATATTTTTTTTACCTTTTCACTCATCTCTCCTGTCTTTTTTCCACCTTCTCTCTCTTCAAGTCTTATTCTAGTATGTAAATTTGGTTACCTTCCTAGCATCCCAGACTGGATGTTTTCAGGTCCTTTACCTCAGTCTCCATTCTATACAGAAGCATTTTCTCTCACAAGGACAAAACTGGACACTCACCTTATATTTCAGCTATTTAACTCTTCTACAGTGATCTTAAGGTAATGAAGTGATAACAAATCTTAACCTTTTTCACTACTATCACCTGTCCTATTGATCAAGAGAGCTTCTTACCCCAAACACAGCTTCAGGATGCTTGGCGTGGTACAGACAGTAGTACTTCCTGTGTCCATTAAGAGCAATGACCGTGCCGAGGGTATTCTTGGGGTTTATGTTCAGGTCACGAGGTTCAGGAAGCCCCAAGACTAACGCGCGCTTGTACCACTCCATAGCTGAAGCTCGCTCAACATTTAAAAAGCCAAACATCAGTGTTTTGTTTCTGAAAATATATACAGCTGTATATATTTTTGTTAAAGAACAAATAAGTATTAATTTAGTATTAACCCTAGTCATACACCTGTGATGACCAGTGACAGGTACCTAACTACCAATACCAACACCTGCTATATCCACTGGCTGTACTCCCACAGTTTCCTAGTTAAGAATCTTATTTAATAGGGACTTTAATTCACGATCATTACTATTGCAGCTGTTCTCAATTTAGGTGTGAAATCCTAAAATGTAATTTATTTGTACAGTCATTTAAAATTTAAAAATTTAAAATTTAAAATTTAAAAAACTAAAAATTCTAAGATTAAAAAATTATACTGGCTACGAATAACAGTAAGACTTGGCTACTAGGATAAAAATTTCAGACGAAGCTTTGATTATTAACTGCACAAACTTGAATTTATGAGTACTAGATGGATGTAAAGTTGATTGAAGTTTTAGTATTATGTATACGTTGTTGGTGGGAGGTACAGGTGCTGACCACTACCCAATCTCCTGTCTCTTTCTCTAACTTTGTGCTGAAAACTTCCTTATTAGAATTTTATGTAGGAATGTGAGATACGTGAAAATCAGAGTACAGTACTTATGAACATAGAAAACAAGACTACTGTATATGGTATTCAAAACAAGACTATAATCAAAACAAGACCACTGTATAATCAAAATAGGTCTTAACAGTAATCTTACTTCCTGTACGGCCAACAAGCTTTGTGGAACTTTGGCATCAGTTTAGCTTTGCTCTCCGAATCACACAGCATGACGATGGTGCGACAGCCGGGCTTCAACATACGAACAAGACCATTGTAAGTCTCTCCCCTCAGTTCGTGTACGACGAGTTGTGGCTGAGTAGTAACCTTTCCAGTCGAATCTATAAACGTGGAGTCTGAATTGCCCACTCGTTCCTCTTCAAGTTTCCTGCAGAATAAAATTTAAGAATCTACTTACAAGACAATCACCGCAAAGGTTCGAATCTGTGTCACTTAATATCAATAATGCAAGAAAGTGACAGATTTAAGGGTGTCAAGTGAACAATGATTTGTCCTACTTAACGTGAAATGAAATGGTAATTAACCACTCGTGTATGGGTTCCCCTCTGTGCTGAATTAAAGTAACTCATATAGACAGTCTTAGAAGTCATTTAGGAACCCAATATATTAACTATTCAAGGCAAAGTTGTTAGGTGTGATAGTAAAAGAACAGGACTGTACATATAAGAGTTCTCAAGAGCATTCAGGCAGGAAGAAGTTCAAACAATAACAGCTCATGAACTCAGATCCAAACTGTGAGAGAAGTACATCTACGCAAACTCTTTATGACTTACACCAAGTACGACATGACGTATCCTCCGGCAATAATGAAGAGCACCGTCACCAGGATAGACACAGCGGGGAGAAGGTCATCCTGAGTCACGTTATCCCTGGTGGGGGAAATACTCATCATAATACACATCAACTGAGTGACGCAGCAACTAGTTATAAAACAGAGAAGCTTGGAAAATTGAAGGATATGTCATGCAATGCATTTTACGCACAGTCTACAAAGAATCTATAGTAAAAAAATACACATTACACTGTAATATATTTTATCTAACTGATAAAAAATAATTTATAATTTTGATGGGTTATTTGTGGTATAATAAGTTAAGGATTGTTAGGAGTATCACACAAGTCACTGAACAACTAAGTGATTAGGTGAGCATTCAAATGTGCCATAATTAAGCTACAGGACTTAACAGTTATTAGATTCAATCACCTGCAGATTTGAAACAACTTTAAATATTTTGGACACAGGAATGGTCTTATGACTTGGGCTAAATGCTCAAAAACTGATGTTCCTGGCACAGGTAGTTACAAAATTACTAAATCACACATTTGTAAATACTTCTAACAATTTGTTTTCAATGGCACAAAAAAACACATTTACCAAAGAAAAAACAAACAAGAAAAAGCACAAAGCTCAGAGACAATACTGGTGAACACATTCTCAGCCTAATGCATTAAATGACAGTTCTTGTATATTCTGAAGGACAATGATATATGTTAAATATAGTATTATAAAAAACCTTAAAAGAAACACTATTAAGTATATGACTCAAACTCTATTGTGAGTTTGTCATAAGCTTCGTACTGTTATAATTAAGTCTGCACAGGAGGCCAATGTGTGCAGAACAACCTTATGAAAAGTCTGAAGAGGGAGAACTTCTTCATCCTCAACCAGAGCAGAACACTAAGCAGATTCAGGCTGAGAATCAGCAGGTGCTATACTGAAACTGAATTTTGTGGAGCCAATCGAAGATCTGTACCAAATAATTCTGATTCTCAGGATTCTATATATTCGTTATTGCACAATCATCAGCACAAGTTTCACAATGCTTACATATAATAAGGAGTTTCAGCATATTACTAGGTTCTTTAACATTAGACCACAACCCAAAGACACTTGTTGCTAAAACATTGAAACTCTTGATTTTCCATTATACCTTTGAACAGATGAACACCATGGCTCTTGCTATGTGCCAAGTCTCAGGGAGGGTGGGGTGGTGTGCCTGGGACTGGCATGCATGTGCACCCACATTTTCTTTCAATTTTCTTGGAATTAACTCATTCAGCCATGGCCTTTGGAACAGACAAAAGGTACAGATCATGGCTGTATCTACTGCAAAGAAAAGATATATTTGCCACACCTAACTCTTGTACAGTTGACACACTATACCCAGGACGATCTTACCATTCCCATTATCAATGACACTTGAGGCCATTCTAGTACTGCACTGATATATAGCAACTACTTCATCCTCTACCAGTTAAAACACTTTTGAATGTCATTTTTCCACTTTCTCTCCTGCTCTTCCTTGCTCATATTAACTGGGATATCATATAATCCAATACAAATATCCAAATTTTCACTCACTACCAATCACTTTTTCATTTTCATCAATTTCAATTCAAGACAAATAATATTCCAAGGTTTCACATACTGTAGTCTTCTTTGTTCCTCCTATACTGTACTGTACTGTATGTTTTATTGACTACACTGTACTGTACTGGTAGAGGAAGTGAGCTACAAAGGACCTATGAATTTACAATTAATATAAAATACAAAACTCACACAAATGTAAAATACAACTGTAACACAATACGATAATAACATTGAGACAAACTCTAGAGAGGGAGAAATGAAGAGCCACATAAATTTCAAAACAACGTCAATTTAAAAGACTTTAGGGGTGAGAAGAAGAAGAGGAAGACCTTTCACATACAGTAAAGACCAATGTACAGTATAATGAGGGAGAGAGAGAGAGTAGTGTGGACCATGTACATTAACAACTGTAAGTCCAGAAAATGGGCGATGTTTCACTTACCACCAATATAATTTAAACTTAATCAAAGACACCAAGTGAGTTACCTACCTCAAATAATCTTGTACGGACACCAGTTTGCTGACGATTCTCCAGACGATCCCCTGAGCGTGTTCATCAAACAACTCCTGATGCGGGAGTAATTATTCGTGAGACATTCTCCACATTAAATAAACTCAATACCCAAATCCTTCTACTATCAACTCAAATTTTTATGTAGATTGCAAAATAGTTATACATTTTCTCATCATTATGCCATGAATAACATCTTAAAATTAGTCAATAATTAAATAATCATCCACATTTGCAAGAATGGGAAGACAACCATAAGAAAACTAACCTTTAAAATAATTAAATATACCACATAAGCTAAGTCTCACATCATAACTAACAGACTTGACTTCTCTTGCCTGTGTGTAGTACGAACCTGGACGACTGTTTCAAAAGGCATCGGCTGGTTGGAATGGAGAAGTCTCTGGATGGCCGCCTTGAGCGCTTCACGGGAGGTATTGTGTTTGTCTGGCTCCACCTCCCACCCTTCCTCCAGCCACTCGTACTTCAAGTGGTTCTGGTCCTTACGCCACAAAATAACTATGTGGTGATTGGTCTCAACTGGGGAACCTGAACCTGGGTATAGAGTACGAGTAAACTGTAAATAAACACCAAAAAAGATACCTCACACTTCTTACAGTAGCAAAAAACAATATGAAAATTATTTCAGCTTGCGTAGAGTAAAGAGATATGTAAAATGTATGGATGAAAGTAGTCATAAGGTAATTGTTCTTTATATGACTTTAAATCATAGATTATACTTGTTCTTAACCCCACACTCCTTCATAAGCTTACACATGGTTTCACCCACCTCAACACAACGTAAGATATAGCTCCAATTTCTTGTTTACTGTCAAGATTAACTCATCTATGTTTTGCACTACATGGTGGTGGGTAACCCATTGATCACTTTTTGGAAGACATTGTTAACTAAGGCGGGAAACACAACAGTCAAATTACGAGTGACATGAGCTGGCTGGTGTCAACGTGCTGGAGGAGGGTGGGGGGACCACACAAAAATATTCAATAAATAAAAATAAATAAATCTCAAAATATCACTTCTTTGACAAAATGTCTCATTCAATTAAATAAAATTTCTTAAGCTTGGTCTTTTTTTGTCAAATATTCAACAAGAGTGATGGGCTTAGACTAATGCACACACCTGCTGTAAGGGCATTCATAAATTCTACTTGTTTCTCCCTGAAGAGATAAGTGTAGCGGACACGATCCCTCTCTCTGGCCTGGTCACCGGTGGCATATTCCCTCAACGCTGCCCGACTTGGGTCATGGGCCGGATCATCTTGAGTGACCAAAACTACACATAATCGACGTCGGGATCGCACAGACTCCACGGGACACAAGGCATCAAACACAGACTGTAAGTTAACACAAATAATATATATTTAACGTGTGGTACAAGGCAGATGAGTTAGCCTTTATAGTTTATTATTTCTAAAGCCATACTGTAGTAATATTCATGAAACCCCATTAGCAGACCACAAACAGTTTAGTCACATTAACACACTGCACCTGTGAGGAGAGTCGAGGCAACACCAGGAACTTGTTGCCCTCAATAATATCCTTCATGGTTGGGTACGGCAAATCTGTCATTGCCACCGATGCCACTGGTGTGTGCAAGTCCTCGTGGAACACAAGCAAGGTGTCCACTTTATTGGACACACTGTAGCGAGCTCGAATGGTATCGGTATCACCCCGGTCCATCTGCACGTACCCGATGACAGCTCTCTCCCGGAACTCCCACCCCACAGTCAAGTAACGGAGTCTGATGATATCGAGGCGGCCGAAAATCAGCACGCGAACCTATTAATGAATGACATGTTAAAATACAGATAATAACTGATAACTATGTCCATGACAGTTTATTCAAAATAGAAATTCCAAAGGTATTTACAGTACAATATACTATAAATGTATTACTAATTATAATTACACAAACTGTATACAGGTAACAAGGTATACCATGCAGAGCATCCTCCAAACAATAAAAGTGCACGAGCCTTAATGTGGAGGAGGAGGGACAGGAGCAGGCCAAGAATGACATTGGGAGAGGTTGTAAGAAATGACATTACAGTAATTAGGAACCTGACAGGAGAGACTGCAGTATGGAAAGCTGCCGTCAAGTACTGTATTTGTAGCTAACCCACACAAGCTTGGAAAATGGCTGGAAAAGGTTGTTGTTGATGAAGGCTGGATGAGAAGGTCTACAACTATTCATGATTTTGCTAATTAAAGATAATGTTACTGAAATGAAGGAGTTAAGAGGTCCATAATCACATAAAGACTGCAACAGACACATCATCTAACACTTACCCTGTTGTCCATCCATCCACCAAGGAAGTTCTCAAGATTTTCTTCTGTTATTCGTTGTACTAATTTGTGGGGGAATTTACTACGAATGAAATCTGTGAATGGAAACAAGCCGTGAAAACTTACCATTTACCTAATAATAATAATAATAATAATAAATGACAGGAGATTTCTATGTATAAAATAAACAGATAATCAGTGGGCTAGGATATAATGTACATGTAATTACAGTACTGTAACCACACTTCAGAATATTTATTACTGTATTAACGGTAATAATAATTCACTAGACACTGGGAAACTAAAGTGAAAATAAATAGATAAAAAGCCCGAGATGTTACCTAAGGAAGACACCATGCTGAGTGAGGCATCGGTGTAGTGGTAAGGATGGCCGTCCAACAACATCACCAGGTACGGCACCGTCTTAACTCCTATTTTTTTAGCAAGCTCAATTTCTCGACCAGCATGAACCTGGGTAAAGATTGAGGCATAAATTGGATTAAATATCTGGTAACTTGAACTTTGTTGGATAAATATAAATGTCCACTTTCTATGACAAAGAGCTCACAGCATTTTATACTTTCTGTAATATAAAATACTGTACTGTACTGTATACAGTATGTAAAATAATCCTCATGCATGTCTTCAGTCTGAGTAAATATTGCCAAGGTTAAGGAAAAATTATCTGCAACAAGTCAAGTTTCTTTAAAGATACTGCGTTAAGATCAAACGTTAAAGAGTACTATGCACAAAAGTAAACTTCTTATTTATTTTTCCCTCATCTGCTGTTGAAATGTAACAGCTCTGAAAATAAAGTAAATGCAGCCAAAGCCAATGTTACCATCTGGCTGGCCATAGTGTCTTGCCCTCTACTGTTTTGGCCATTTTACCCTTTAAGACAAGGTAATAAAATAGTACATACAGTGGCCATTCCAAAATTAATTGGCTCCAGCTCTTCATCCAGTCTCCACCATATGGGTTCAATATCTGCACAAGGTATGCACCAATCAGAGTAGAAGAGCAACAGGTATGGTTGTTTCTTGCTTAATGGGATGATGGAGTTCTGATATGACCTGTAAGATTTCAAATGATTAGTGATAAAAAATTATTAAAGTGATACAGTAATATCATCTACATATCTATTTATATTTCATACTCTTTATTTCATCAAGGTATCAATCTCGCCATCTCTTTCCCATTACAGGTAATGTGGCAACAACCAAAAAGCAACATATATACAGTATAATATATAGTACAGTTGTCATTCATGCCTCCTAACTGCTGTAACATCCCTATAAGCTATTTTATACCAGGTTCTCTTATCATCCATGCATTCCCGTGCCTCCCATAATACCCACCCCACTCACATCTAGTACACCCTTTACTCCATCCATCCTTCTACCTCCTCCTTCCCATCTACCACATAATTACAATTCAGTAGCGTATGTCCTCTTTTTACCAACTTATCACTTCCTATTCCATAAAAATGCCATAATATTTTAGACCATGTACTACCAGTCACTATGCTCTGTTATCTATGTGTTATCAGGCAGGTGTGATGTAAAGCCATATGTATAACAGGTGTCCTCAGCCAGCTTATTTCACATCTTATGACTTTAAAAAGTATCTCCCTATCATGACTTATTGTAGACTGTGATCAAGTCCACATACAGGAGCACAACTCTCCACTGTGATAGGTAACACCCAGCACAACTAATTCAAAAGGAAACTATAAATTGGAGAGATGACAGACTAAATTCAGACCTACGTACTTGTATGTTATAGATTGCTTCTTATAAATAGTATTTGTTCCGTCTCCGTGCTTAAAATTGAAGCGGAACCTCCCTCCAAAAGTACTGAAAATGTCGTCGAAGGGATCGAAGCGCCGATAGGAGGAATAGTCATGTTGCTTGCGGAAGTTGGGCTGCTCTTCTGTCTGGCCTGTGGTGTCAAACAGCCGGCGCCGTTCTGGGTCCATTAACAGCTTAAAAGAGAACAGATGAAATTTGTTAATATTTTTTTTATTATTAACTTTTATTAATTATTTTCCAGGAGGCTATAGATTAATGAGTTGTTTGAGTCCTCTATGACAAAGCAATAACTGTAACTAAATTCATAAGCTATTCTCCTATACGTTGACACTATACACATTTTTCTAGTTGAAAATGTTCTTTGGAAAATTATGAAAAATTATTTACTTATGGCATACATTTGAAGATCCACCCCCCCATCCCCCGTTCCCCAGCTTGTCACCTGTACCCACCCTAATGCTCCCATAAGAAGGACAGCCTCAAGCCCCATAAAGACAGACGTTTTAATGTATTGTGGAAACTCTTTACACCAGCCAACAGTAAGAGAGAATAAGTGCTTCTGTCATCAACTAAACTTTCTATTAGATGTATGTAAATTATCTTACCTCATAAGCCTGATTGATTTCTATAAACTTCGCTTCTGCTTCTGGTGAAGGATTTTTGTCTGGATGCCTGAGGAGTAACACAAAAATAATTAATTTAAATAATAGTATAGAGAGCCTTACATATACACACCTGACCTGACACCATAACTAACAACTGATAAAATTAAGGGATATTTCTTATCTCTGTTTCTGTTCTTAGATTACTGTAATTGTTTCTAATCCTACTTTATGAACCTGGTTTTCCCGTTTTTTACAGTTACTGTAAAAACATACAGAAACTTTTTAAATTGTTTGTTCAAATACAATATTCTTTCTTACATTATTAAAGTACAGTATATCCCCCAAAAGACAAGGCTTTGCAATGTTAGTTTGGCGACACACACAAATGCTACCCAGTGTCCTTCCCATCCACATAAACGAGTTGATCGGTGGCGAAGAGGATAAAAGTACAGTATATGGTTTATCATAGACCAGAATCACACCTACCTACCCCAGGATGGAAGTGCAATACAGGTTAGGTTAGGTTAGTTTAGTTTAGGTTAACTTAGGTTAGATTGAGTCTAGTGGTAAAATTAAATGAAACAGTTCATGTGGAAAGGTCGCTGGGATGCATTTGATAACAACTGAAGTTAATATTCCACAAACATAGATTAAATAAAGTAACAATATCTGGTACTTGGAGTAATTCCCTGACTCACGGACTGTAATCAATGGTACAAGTAATTTTATACCTATTATATACATTATAACAGATTCATATATGACAAATAAAAACATTACTTGCCAAAAAAATAGTGATGTAAAACCATAAAGGTGATGCTTCTAAAATACGTCACTATGAATTCTATATTAAGCTACAAATGATGCAAAGTGATTAATAACTTTTAAACATTATTGAGTTCTGAGGGGAAACAGAAGACCACGAGTTCAATATCTATAGATGTATCTATTTATATATTTAACTATGTATCTATTACAGTAAGGGTGTGACACATGGGGGTACACACACACACACACTAATGGCCCTCAACATAGACACATTCAACCAACACCTTACCATTCTTTTGCTAGTTTCTTATACGCTTTCTTTATCTCCTGGGTATCAGCTTTTCTTTTAATGGCCAGAATACTATAAGGATCTCTTACTTTAGCGAGTACACACAAGAATAATGTTAGTAATATAGAGCAACACCACACGACTCGCCGCATGATTGCTGTTGTGCGGAATTCTAACAGGAACGAGATGTCTTGATGCTTCAACATATAAAACAATTATTCATTCAATTATATCTATCTTAATAATTATTTTGGTACTGTTAAATACATATTAGTAAATATATGTTTGTTTTTTTTAGCTCATGTGTAAGGAGTAAATGATAGATATTCTTTATTATTTTAGCTGAAGTTTTAGCTTTGGTATAAGAACAAACACCCGTCCAGCTGATCGATGACTGCGGCGGTGCTGATTGGTCCAGTGAAGTGAGGCGCGATGAGGGGCGTATTTAACATGTTAACCGGGTTTTTAACTTAATATATAGAGACTCAATGTAGTCTTTCTCTGTATCCACGAAACAGCAACTTGACCTCTACCTCACCTCCTCTCCCTCAACACCTGTACCTGCATCTCTCACATCTCTCCCTTAGCTGTACCTCCAACTCCCCTCTCCCTCATCACCTGTATCTGAACCTCCCCTCTCCCTCATCACCTGTATCTGAACCTCCCCTCTCCCTCATCACCTGTATCTGAACTTCCCCTCTCCCTCATCACCTGTATCTGAACCTCCCCTCTCCCTCATCACCTGTATCTGAACCTCCCCTCTCCCTCATCACCTCCTGTACCTCCACCTCACCTCCTCTCCCTCAACACCTGTACCTCCACCTCACCTCCTCTCCCTCAACACCTGTACCTCCACCTCACCTCCTCTCCCTCAACACCTGTACCTCCACCTCACCTCCTCTCCCTCAACACCTGTACCTCCACCTCACCTCCTCTCCCTCAACACCTGTACCTCCACCTCACCTCCTCTCCCTCAACACCTGTACCTCCTTTAGTCTCCATACTTGAAGCTGACGGATACACAGCTCAAGGTTGGACTGGCCACAAGTTCGGAAAATGATTAAGGCAAACATTTTCGGGATGGGAATTGAAAACCGTTGAAACAATCTGCCAGAGAGTGTTGTGACTTGTGACGACACTTCCAACAGAAACGTGACGGACGGCTCTAGTGGCTAACGAGCTAATCAGTGGCGAAAAAGATAAAAGATTAAAAATTACGGCGTGCGGAATGAGGAGTGTAAATCCCGCGGAGACAAATCAACATAAAACAATATCGAATTTTGTTCTCGACTATAAATTGACCATCATTCATAACTAAATTAAATGTAAAATAAGTATATTTAACATTTTATGACCTAACAATTGCTAAACTAACCTAACTTTTGTTCGTCATCTGAAACCTTCACAAATTTCCGAGGGTCCGGCTGTAGTAGACTGGTTCCCTGTTGTTAATATATGTGGACAACAGGTATGGACCGAGGCCTCCCATCCTGTGTGAATAAGGTCAACAGGAGTATTTTAATGTATATTCTCATCTGTGACGCCCTTAGCGGAAGTTGAAAGTAAAAAAAACCACTAGAAAAACTATATTGCATTTATGGCACCAACCGAATTACTAATTAAGTTATCTTAACCAATTTAAGGCAACTAAACGTTAAGACACTTGCTTCAGTTAAGTCAGACTAGGTTAGGTTATAAGCTATGCTACATTACACTAGGCTACGTTGCTAAAACTTTAAAATGCTAGGCTACATTAGTTATAGGTTAAGTTGTTAATGATTAAATTACTTAAGTTAGGTTAGGTTTCATTACGTTAGGATGAAAATGTAAAAAAAAAAAGTAATGCTAATTTGGTGTTTCTTGCGGCATATTCTGTTGGTTTTTTTTATAATATTGTATATTTAAAGAATCTACCCCTTCTTCTTGGGACTGTAGGTTTTTGCATTGCCATTACAAATTAATTTTCACATTTATTTTTTGCTGACTCGTAGAGGTGACGAGGCTGGGATTATTACCTCTATCCCAGCACTTTTTATTAGTGTCTCCCAAAACTATATATATTTTCGAAGTTAGAATGTAAAACTACTTCAAACCGATAAGAACCAGCCTTAGCGATATGAAAAGTATTAAATAATTATCACAAGGTTTAAATATCTTAAAGTTAATTGTAATAAAGAAGTTTTGTCAGAGCGAAATTTTATCGTGTAAGTATAAAGTTGTTAATATATCTTCACGAAAGCTGTAAATATGGTAAATGTAAGAAACTAAAGATAAAATAAGGATGTTAAATGTTTAAACACGTATTTGTCACTGTTTACTTAAATATTTTCCCAAAGTTTTCAGAAATATTACAGAGAATAATTACCTTCTGTGTTAACTTTGACGCAACATCCGCTATATAGAGTATTATTTATTATCTTTAAATTACTTTTACTATCAAATTTTTCTCATATATAATATTATCATGATATTGAAGCATTAGAACAAATTTGGTATATATTATTTTACTACGCATATAAAAATTCATGTGTTATATATACCAGATGTGTGTTGTTTTGAGCAAAATGGCGTTGGACGTTATTTATTGTTTATGTGGACAATCAACGGATTTGTCCCGTTTTATGATACAATGTGATATTTGTAAAGACTGGTTTCACGGAAGGTAAGCATACGGTTGATAATGAACAAGAAAATTGGTAAAGTTGAGGATGTTTCAGTGTTAAATAGCGAGAACCGTCGTCACTCTTGTGCTGGAGGCTGAAGCAGTCACCCTGTACTAACATAACTAACTCTTATTTAACCTATTTACTCTTATTCTAAACTCATTCCTCTCGCTAGAAAAGAGTTCATCGTGAAATATAACAAGTGTAGTGTGGAAAAAGAGTGATTAGGTGTATATTTTACGGTAGGTACACGTAAAGATAACTTGTCACGTAGGCACTCAAAGTCTTATCGTATGTAAAATGTATAACTTTTGGCGACTATAACCACCTATAACCCTTATTATATCCCGGTAGATGTGTCATGGCTGGGATATTATTGACGTTTACCTATAATTTCTGCTCGTATACTCCCCATGGGTTAAACTTCACTATTAACCATATGATGAGTTAACATTATCAGTCTGAAGTTAAGGAGGTTTACATGTGGTTAGAGGCAGACCGTCAGCCAGGCGTTGTTTGGCGGGTGTGAGTGTTCTGATATCCCGTTTCTGATGGTATGAGTGTTCTGATGTTCTGTTTCTGATGATGTGAGTTTCCTGATGTCCCGTTTCTGATGGTGTGAGTATCCTGATATCCTGTAGGGTTAGGTTAAGTTAGGTATGTTTGGTTGGTTAGGATAACTTAATTAGTAATATGTGGTTGATAATACCTGTAAGTACTGTTATATAATTGTGTTACATAAATAATGGACTGGGAAAATAGCCCAAAACAGCCTGTCAGGCTATTTTGCCGTGACCGGGAGTGTAGCCACTGCCTTATTAATCTGGTGAGCTACGAAAGGTGCAAAGATAGGCAGTGGTGCAGGGGAAACTGACATACTTTAGTACAGTACACTTTGTTTTATTTACTACAGCTGTTTACTTACTGAGGCAGAGTTTGTTGGGGGAAATTGTTTTTTTCATAAATTGTTTCTTTTCTAACTTATACAGGTACTGTATAGAGATAGGAAACTCTTGGTGTTGACAAATTAAAAAAAAAATCTATTGGTTATTCGTGGAAGTTACCATCATCAGTGTTATCAGTTTTAGAAACGTTACCATGCACCACTTACTCAGACCTGACTTACTTCACAGCCTGGGTGACAGGTGGTCTCTCACTGCACATGTGGGTGTTGATCTTAACAGCTGGACACCAGTTAATGATTGAAAAAATGACCATGGTTAGTTATAAAGATTAACTATAGTAGTATTTGGGATTTTGTTAGAGTATTTTGTAAATAAATGGGGTTATACTTATATCCCATTCCCACGTTACAGTTGGTCATTGCCTGTTTGATGATCACCCCAACACTCAGCTGTGTCTGCCCACCAAGCCTCCTGGCAGCACAACTCTTATCACGTCTCAAAGTGATCAACACACCAACTCCAGACCCCAACCAATACTATTCCATGTCAACATTCAAATTGATGTAGCTACTTTGTTTTATCCCAGTTTGAGAATGTGAAATGTTGTGAGATACAGTACGTGTTGAGTGCATGATGTTTCACAATTACATAAGAACATAAGAATGGAGGAAACTACAGTGAGCCTACTGTACTGTACAAGCAATAGTTTTATGAACAGTAACTATGAGACTGACCATGACTGCCTGGTGCTTACCATTGAGGGACAAATTTTGTGGTGGTATTTTCTGTTTTCATGTTATTGTGTGCCAGTATTGCCTTATGAGTTGAAGGGGAATAGAGCCATGATGTGTACTGATTAGAAAGATTTGTTTAACTTTAAGGAGAAAGCTTGTGGAGATGTGTTTATATTTCACTACAGTATTGTATTTTCCATTTCACTAAAAGTGTTTGGGGAGGGGAACTGGGGGAGACTCAGGGTTAGGACTGGTGAAGGTGTATGTTACTACAGCATTATTATGGCTTTTGTTTTCAGAAGAACAGAAACATATCATACACCAGTTAGGACTCTGCACTGAAGTTGTGGGATCCCTAGACTACAGTACTATACTCTCCCTGTTAGTCTGCTGATCTGTCCTCAGCTGACCATCAACAGTTAGGCTCATTAGCTAGGCTACATACAGTACAGTATTCATCCAGATAAGATATTGCAGGGAAACCAGATAGCTACACTTTTATAGCCTCACCACCAAAGGATTGTAGTGTGCTGTTCATAACTCATGCCCACATGTGTAAGGTGGAAGCCAGTGTTTGTAGTTACAGTATTTACACCTGCGTTTATCTGGTGGTAATGTCTCTTGTTTCCTATAGTCGGTAAAGAACAGTTCTGGCAGGTTATAATAGTTACTTATTTCTATGTCTACAGTTTGTATTATGAACACTTAAGGTTCCATCTGTCTGTTTACAGTATTATCATTGTCTCATATTCATTGTTATTGAGATAAGGTTAATGTGTTTCTTGTGTTACAGATGTGTTGGAGTAAGAGAATATCAGGCAGTAGATATCGACAGGTTTCACTGTCCACGCTGTGAAGCTTACAACGGACCATCTGTTTGTGAGTCACTTTATACTGTACAGTACTTGGTGTTTTATGTTTAAGTTACCAGCAGCCATGTTATCATCTACTGAACAGGCTTAATCAGTTATTATAAAAAATGTTTTCATGTCTACTCTCTTTACATTGTTTGTATGAATCAATGAAAAGTGCAGTACAGTATACACACTGTTCATGTCCACCCAGCGTAAGAATGTCACCTTCCCACTTTCTTAAAATTTATCTTTACATTTGTCCCCCATTGCTTCCCTCCCTGGTAGATAAATAGATGGGTATTTTTGGGGGTAAATCATCATATAAGTTTACATTGGTTCACCATGTATGTAGGTAATGTAGGTTTCTCTACAGCCGTAAACAGTAGGTTGATTCAGATAAGGATCATCTAAAAGGGACTATTAAAAGCTTATTTCCACTTGGCCCCTTACCTGTGGTTGGAGAGACTAATGAGATAACGATAAGTCTGATCACTGCTATACAGTACTGTAGAAGGACTGCCAGTACCTCTTGCCTTCTGGTGTATCTCTACAGCCTTGTAATTTATATATAAACAATGAGACTACTGTATTTATAACCAGCACAATACAGTATACATCTTGTAGGTGTGAAGTAGAGGCTTGATCCAGTGTTAGTGTGTCCCCAGTTTAGACAACTTTATATACTCTTGTGAAGAAATTTACCAGGAGGAGTTGGGTTATAACGAGGTGTTAGCTGATTGTGTAAAATGTTTGATTTGCCTTCCAGTAAAAGCACGTCTAAATTGGCACCGCCACGACTACTCCGAGACTGATGCTGCTTCCAAACCAGTCCAGACAGGCACGCAAGTTTTCATTAAAGAACTCAAAACCAGACATTTCCCCAGGTATGTATAGTATAGATGTACAATACATGCATATATATATATATATATATATATATATATATATATATATATATATATATATATATATATATATATATATATATATATATATATATATATATATATATATATATATATATATATATATATATATATATATATATATATATATATATATATATATATATTTATTTATTTATTTATTTATTTATTTATTTTAATTACTGGCATTTAAGAGACTGGTATTATGTATCAGCATAATGTATTACCCCCCAAGTATCACTCAATGCCATGCTTCCCCCACCTCCACCCACACAGCTGTTGCCTGGATATCCCTGACCCTCACCCCAGCCTTCCATCACCATCTTGGTCTTCTCATCACCCACCTACATCATCACATGTTGCTGATAAATCTTTACTTACTGCTTACCTTACTCTTTCTGTCAAAGGTTTAATTTGTTTGATAATATTCTTGTGACATATTCTCTTGCACTGCCATGTAACTCCACATTTCATCTTCCCATACCTCTGCCACACACTCTATGGCTCTCACCCTTTCACACACACTTCTGCCTTTACACCGTTCACCTGTCCCTATCAGATTTTTTCTTTGCCCTTCTACTTCATTTTAATAAAAGCCAAGACATCCAGGTTCCTTTGATACATCACTAACTGAATCATTCATCTCTTCTCTTTTTCACCGTTGATTTTCTTTTCTTTCCAGCTGTGAAGATGTGGTTTGTCGACTCAGAGGACAACAGCTTACACTGCCATATATTGTTGCAAATGGATTCACCAAACCCATATTGGTTGAAGATAGAAATGGACTTGATCTCATAGTACCCCACGACTCCTTCAATGTCCTGGATGTCGAGAATTATGTCGGTAAGTTTTAGGAACACCAATGAATATCTGAGGGAACCGACATCTTGTTTGCAATTTGCATTCTTCTAATATATGATTCTCTCTCTTGAAGTGACATTCTTATTGTAACCCAAACAGAGGTATCCTTTATTAGACAGCTGATAATACCACCGCATAAAACGTTGAAGGTGTGCAAGTATTGGTTGAAACTGTTAATGAAGTGTTCTGTTTTAATGTGTCAATGTTCAGTGGAGCATTAGCCACTTGCTTTCCTTTAGAATATGGGAGAAACATGGTTAGGTTAAATTATGGAAGATTAGGTTAAGGTAGGTTAGGGTAGGTTAGATTAGGGTAAGTTAGGTCCCTTCTCATTCATCCCTTCGTTCATCCTCAGGGTCGGAACATGAGGTGGATGTCATTGATGTACAGAGACAAACGGACGTCAAGATGCAGCTACACGAGTTTATAGAATATTTTCTCAGTCCCGCCAGAACGACAGTCCTTAACCTCATTAGTCTTGAGTTTTCTAATACCAGGTGAGTGAATTAAGTCTTTTTAACTTTATATATTGTGCTTCAGTAAGACATCAGTGGATCTTGTTTGCAGTGATTTCTAAACCTTTTTCTTACTTAATGTAGAGGAACTGAGTCGTGACTTAAATACAGTGAAACTTCCATATAACGAACTTTCATCTTTATTTAGTCCGTTAGATGGGAGTTTCACATCTAATGGAACCTCGATATAACGGACTTTCATCTCTATTTAGTCCGTTAGATGGGGGTTTCACCTCTAACAAACTCTCGATATAACGGACTTTCATCTCTATATAGTTCGTTATATGGAGGTTTCACTGTATGCTCACTCTTATTCTCCATTCATTTATATTGGTATTTATTCTTAATGCTCTTGTGGATTATTTGTTAATATGCTCTTTTTTCCTCTTTTTACAATGGCTCCTAATTGGTTTACTCCCTGTCATTTCACAGAGGCCATCTTGCTTGTGTCTAGAGTCCTGGCGAATTGTAATTGGGTAACACCTATCTTTTAGTAATGGTCCATTTTTGGCATTGGGAAATTTTACGGTTCAGATTTCATTAAACTAGTTGCGTATTTTATAGTATGAGTCGTGTATTTTTATTGTATAAGTTGTCTATTTTATTGTATTTTATGAGTTGTATATTTTATTGTCTTGTTTCCTGTTGTCAGTTGTCGTTCTCTCTTACAGCCTGAGTCAACTAGTGGAGCCGCCCTATATTGTCCGCAAATTGTGTTGGGTGACGAGTTCGTGGCCGACGGATCCTCCACCCGGCCCGCCTCTCGCCCGTCCTAATGTTTCTAAATATGCCCTTATAGGTGTAGAGAATTCTTACACAGACTTTCACATAGACTTTGGGGGGACGTCCGTGTGGTATCATGTACTCTGGGTAAGTGTTTCTCTATCTCTTGTCAGCTTGTAAGCTATGTTTACAATCATTAATTTCTCCCCATTTTTATCTGGTTAACATGTGCACTATTCACTATTGTTGAAGATATCGCGGTAAAAGAGAATAGAATATCATCAATATCAGAACTTTTTTCTCTTATTTCAGGGAGAAAAAGTTTTTTACCTGATTAAACCAACAGCAGCCAACCTTACCTTGTATCAGAGATGGATGAAGGCGAACAACCAGTCAGAGATGTTTTTTGGTGACCAGGTAAGAGCTTGTTGTTGGAGTGTTAGCTACCTGTAATAATAAGGACATAGATAGAGCTAGCAAGGAACACTTCAGCCTGGGTGTAAAAGTCATCAGAGTCAGTTGGATACCATTATTGTGTCCTAGTACAGTATATTATTACTGTTTATGGGTTACATTTATTGTTGTATTAGACCTTTGTTTTGCTCGTCCAGGTTGACACGTGTTACCGGTGTGTGGTGCGGGCCGGAGAAACACTGTTCATCCCCACTGGTTGGATCCATGCAGTCCTCACGCCTACAGATACTCTTGTGTTCGGTGGAAACTTTCTTCATTCTCATAACATTGAACTCGAGCTTCAGTAAGTACTCATCATCAGACTTTGTACATTATGATACTGTATGTTAGTGGTAACTGATATTTTAAACATTTGTATTACTGTAGTGTAAATTCAAGCATTTATACACAGTGTATGTTGATATAAACAGTGGAATTCTGGAGTCACTATCCTTGATTGTATAGAATTATGATGGCTCATGGATAGATTCCACTATATATTTCCTTTATCTCAAATCTCCATGGATAAAGACACTCTCTCAGATGTATTTGGATGTGCCAATTAGATTTTTCTTTATTCTATGAACCTTTTTTGCACTGTAACCCAAGCTAGTCAGAATCACACACACACGCACACTCACACAATCTTCACTCATTTCATTCAATCATTCTGGCTAATGTAATAAATGTTTTCTTCTGTGGTATTACCTTTCCACAGTCACTTAGTGTCATGTAACATATGCCAACAGTCACCGAAATAGCACAGAAAATAGATTGGGCTCTGGGTTGCACATTATGTCTATGGAACAAATCCGTTTACTCTGTCCTGAAGTTGCATGGAGGTGGGATACATTGTCGAGTGGACTGTGGTCTTTAAGGTCAACTTTTTTCTTCGTTTCTTATTTTCATATGTGTTTGTGGTATGAAATAGAACAACAAAGGCTTGATAAGAGTAAAAACTAAAAAAAAAAATCACTATTTCTAATCTATGTTGTAAATGAGGTCGTCAAGATCAGCTTAGTATTTTCTAGGGAGGAAGTCATGTACATTATTGATTGTATACCGGGTAAGTTAAAATGTTTCCTCGATAAATGTCTTGTTTGTTATTCCAGGATTTATGAGATTGAGAAACAGATCAACGCTCCGGAAAAGTTCAGATTTCCCCACTACGAGAGCGTGTGTTGGTACGCCGCCACCAGATTAGTTATGGAACTGCGGGATATGGGGGCAGCTGGCACAAGAGTCCCGCCAATCATGATCGCCGGTGCACGTTCCCTGTCAGCGGCTCTCAGACAATGGGGAGGAGAGGTGCGGCTGACACTTTTGGACTTGTGTTTGTTTTGAAGTTGGATTGTGTTTGTTTTGAAGTTGGATTGTGTAATTAATGGAGTTTCATCTTATTTGTTTACTCGTTTTTTTGTGTGTGTACATGCATGCTTGAAAGATAGAGAGACATAATAGAGAGTGTCGGTCTTATGATAATTTCTGTAGTGTGTTGTGTGGTTTTAGTCTGAATGTGCGTGATCGTCTTTTTATTTTTGTTTTCGGTGTACTTAATTTCTGTGCCGTTGACTACCCCCTACAGTGGTGATAGTGCGGTAATATAGGTTTTTTTATTTACTTTTTTATACTTTTAGATTTTGTGTATTGTTAAAGTTATTTATAGTTTTTGTCTGTTAAAGTTAATTTGTTTCTAATCGATTTTTGTCTCACTTCAGAATGGCAGAGGTGGGCTTGAACCAGTACCTCCAGGAATCCATCCATTAAAATTGTTTAAAGATCTACAGAGAGAAATTCGGTGCGCTGAGAAACAAGTAATTGCTCTAAATCCACCCAAACCAGAACGCGAGTCCAAACGAAGAAAGAAGAAAGTTTTAGCGGACGACTTCATTGACTACACCAATCTAACCAGCTTCAATAATGTACTGGAGGAGAGGTTGCCTGATAGAAAGGTCAAAGTTCTCAAGGTCAACTCGCCTCAAGTAAGTTCGTGATTCATACTTGATGTGATTCTTGAATTTGCTATATGAAACTTACCTAATATTTGGAGTACACAAACCTTGGAATGTCATCCCTCTTGTGGCCTTTGTAAATTTTCTTGTGATCTTCGACTTGGTTTTCTGGATCTTTCTGCAAAGTTTTCAGCATCTTGCTTCATTTAACTATCATATCCTGCTCACTTTTAATGGATTTCAGACAGTATATTTGTCTTATCTTATTACGTATTCTCAACCATATATTTAACCCCTTATGTATGGGGTCCCCTCTGAGCCGAATGAAATTGTCTGTCATGAGCCAAATAAAATATTAATAGTGGTGTCCCTATAGTGAAAGGGTAAGGTGCTGAAATATCTTGTGGCACTATACTGTAACTGGTGGATGGTGTGGTTCAGTTTTATCCCATTTAATGAATTGATAAACTCCAGAAGTGAACATGTACTTCTTTAATGTTCTTAGCCATATTTAAATATATTTTACACTCTCTTCTTTTCTCGTCCTTTCAGGTGGAAATTGGGAGTTCAGACATTACAACTATAACAGATGACCAACAGCGAACACTCAAACTGACTCTCCCCAAAACTGCGACCTATCCATATGGCCTGGGCTTCACATCCTCAGATTATGGGATGAGTGGTACTCCACCTCATGACCCGGAGTATCCTCAGTTCAAGAACGAGTATCCCAGCAATGTTAAGTAAGTGATCAGAGGGATTGTGCCATTATTATAGTAATTTTGTCTTTGGTTGAATTTTAACCCAAATTTTACCCTTTGCTTTAAAATATTTTTTGCTTTAATACGATGATACAGTATATATTTTGCCTCAAAGTGTTTGTGTTTGTTTTTCAGAACTGAATATGATTGGTCAGACAGTCCAGGAATAACCCCCTACAAGTTAGTAGATCCTGCTGGTGTACGGTTGAAATTTGGACGCACAGGCAGCACTGACTCTGACATGTCCACAACACCAACAACTGTGACCACAGTCAGAGTTAAACTCGAGTTCGTAACTCTTGGTTTTTAGTTCTTTGTATTAGTGATTGTAATGTTTTCCTTGTTTCTTTTTTAGACATCACTACACTGAAGTAGTAACACAGTAATTATTTTCCAGATTACTGTAGAGAAAACCACCCCAAGATGGGAACCTTTAGCTGTGATGCCATTCATTTATGTTCATTATCCTATACTCTTCAGTCTTTCCTTCTTCTTTTACATCTTTGCTTTATCTTGTTCCTTTTATTTTCCTAAAAGTATTAATGTATTTAATTTCTCTTGAGTTGGAATTGTAATAAAGTTGAAGTTTTTCTGGTTTGCTAAATAAGACATACATGTACACTGGTAAACAGGTCTCTATCTGACTACTGTGCTGGGTTCCTGATGTGAGGGAGGGGGAGTAACCTAACAACTTGGAAGAAATTTGGAAAAATTTTCCTATAAATAATACTTGTACAGAGCATTTGGGAAGTGAATGTAGGAGAAATTTCACCACTCAAGATGAATGGTGAAATTCATGTACCTCTCTCAGATTGGCACCTTGGGGTTAATAACTAATAATCACTCTACCATACATTGTTACCCACTCCTCCCCCTCAAAAAAAAAAAAAGTAGTAAAATTGAGGTACCTGTATTTGATGATGTGTGGTTGTGGTGAGGGTGATACAAAGAGGGAGGATTGAAACTATTATGAATAAAATGAACCTTAATATCCTTAGTGTTCTAAAGAAAGCTAAGAGTCAAAGGAAAGGTGAGTTGGGGACAAGTGAAGGGAGTAAAGTTAAATGTGTTGTGGAAAGGGGGAGAACAAATGGAGTTATCGGTGGTGAATGTTGAGATGTGGAGCTGTGTGGTGGAGTAGGCTGTAGAACATGATGGATGGGTCATTCTAAAGGTTGGGAGGGAATGGAAAGGTGGATTACAGAGAGAACATATGCACCAGGGAATGATAAGGTAAAAATAGGGTTAGGGAAAAAATTTAATCAAAGTATTGTATTATGTGAGTGATAGTGTGTAAATAATTCGGGATTTATGTACAGGAGTTGGTGACACTGAAGAGGTGTCTGGGGAGATATGACCTCTAAGGAATAAATGGAAATGAAGAAAGAATGTGTAATAATCATCATCATTAACATCATCAAAAAATAATGAAATATATATTTTTTTTGTGTGTGTGTGTGCGTGTGAGATGTAGTGTGTACCGTATAATATATATTTAATTTCCCTCACAGGAGTGACACTACGGAAATAAAACAACACAATGAGTCAGTGTACGACTTCCACGAGGACGGTGACAGCGATGAGCGGGAACCTTCTGGCCTTATGATAGATGAAACGCCTCGTCGTAAAGGTGTTCGTCTTCAACCTCAAGAACCTCTGAAGATAAAGCTCAGTTGTGAGTGTTCTGTAGATATTACAACACTATTTGTTTATTTGTTATTCACTGTTTTGGTTGGATAGCAAATTGTAAAGAGCTGATCATCTGTGAGGAGGAGGTGACGTATTAGTGAGGAAACATAACTAAACTATACATCACTAGTCAGAAGGCAGTCTTACAGAAAAGCGACAAAACCTCTAACATGACATGATCTTTTAGTATTATGATTTGGAAAGGTTTTACCGAAGAAAGTTTTTGGTGTGACTTTTATTTGATATTTCCATCAGATTTGCCTGGAGGGACATCATCACTAATTTATTTATCTGTTTTAATATAGTGACAGGAGCAGAAGTAGTGTGTGGTGAGACAGTCGATGTGGCAGAGGAAGTGGAAGTAGCACCGTCACACAACACGGCCCACAACGGTATTGATGAACTCCTCAGAGCGTCAGCTTATGCCCCAGACTTTAATGAAGATTCTCCTGCACGTATAGATGAATTGGAGTAAGTTGTGTTGATGTTACTATTATGAGCTGTGTTTTCCAAAGGCATCATCATTACCTTTGCTGACTACATGATGAGGTCAGTAGAGGGGGTTATAATAATTGTGTCTTGCTGATTGTTTATATAATATAAAAAGAGATGTACTGTTTTTGATGTAGCTTGAAGTTTCATCTTCATTTGTTTATATATTCCTGTCATCTCTTACTTGACGTAGCAGTGAAAGTGGGCGGGCGTCACCGTCCACTAGAGAAGCCATCGCAGGGATGCTGAGTATGAGCCGTGTTGTTCCCAGTGGACGCACTCCCTCCAGAAAACTAAGTTCAGCTAACTCCCGCCAACCAAAAGCCAGACGGCGGTACGACGATGATGAACACATGAGCAAAGTTCATCAGGATGAAGATTATGGTGAGTCATGTAAAATTTTCTCATTTAATGATATGGTATAGTATTGTACGTGTTGACCAGAGTCACACCTCTGGTAAGACTTTTCTGGATGAAGTGATGGTGGGGGCAGTGTTCACCCTCCTCCACCACTATCAGCTGACTTGATCTAATCACCATTTGCTACACTGTGGTCGTGTAAAGAAGGTTTGCCAAGAAGATCCAGAAAATATAGTGGTGAAAATGGAAGAGGATTTGGTGTGATATAACTAAAAAATTATATTCCTATTACTTGTCTGTGTGTATAAACTCTACCAGGGTAATGCTTGTGACTGATAGGTTTCATGACTAGAGGTAACAAGCATGAGTACAGTGTATAATTCCTGGATAAATGTACAGAAAAGGTAACGTAATTAATTTGACACATTATACTCTGGGCCCTCTTGTACGACCCAGTAGGTATTTAATTGGCTCTTACAACCAAATCTGGGAACTTATGTTATAGTGTATCATGTGTTAAGAGAAGAATATTCATGAGTGAAAGCTGTAGTTACCTGATGCTTCTTTTTACAGTGTATCCAACCCTTGACATATCTGATGATGAGGACTTTCCTGTCTTCAAACCTCGGGGTAAGAAGAAAGAAGATGAGGCTTGGAACCCCAAAGCCCGCGTAAGAGTTCAGGGACCACGGCCAGAACGACCCATGAGGCAGGGGGTCCGGAGACAAGCGGTAGAGAAGGGACTAGAACAGGCAGCAGCAAGACGACAAAACTTACCAGTGAGTCTCAGATCTAGAACAGGTTATATTATGATAATTATTAACTTTATTGGAAGTTGTGTACTGTTTTGTGTCTTCTGGGACCATTAACGTGATAAGAACATTTGCAAATACGTCTATGTATATTTTAGTTATAACATTATTTTGAAGTCTGGTGGGTTACATCTGCAGTGTTTGCAAATGTAACCAAGATTTCTAAATGTATTGACCTTGTTATCAGCCATTATTTTCTAACGCCCCCAACAGGCAGCCAAGAGAGCGTACCACCGGAAAAAGCAGCGGAGCTTAGACTCTCAACCAAGTACCTCCTCAGGGGGTGCTGGCCTCAAGGGAATTAGTAAAAGTGAGTACAGTATAAGAGTTTGGTTCATGTGTTTTATAGTAACTCAGGGAATAGCTAAGTAGTGTGTGTGTATTTCTACCCGTTTTTTTGCCTTTTCTTGTTACTTTTTAAATTTATCATACCCCAGGTCTTCACTCCCTTTTTTTTGTCATAATTCTTTGAGGCTTCTGTATCAATATTCACCTGTCTTAAAGTGGGGCGGGAGTATAGGTGAAAAATAAATGTAGAATCTTTCCTTATAGCTGTTGGGGAAGGTCAAAGTTTCAATTATTAGATCAATTCCCTTAATTATAGTTGCAACACCCTTTATTACAACATACAATACACTAATTACAATTACAACATGTAGTTAAATTATTATTATTGTACTTAATGTTTGTTTTTTTCCAGTTTCAAACAAGCCAAGAAAGGGGATGGCAACAGCTAAGCAACGATTAGGTAAAATCCTCAAGATTCATAAAATGCTTCACTAGTTGGTTTGTCAGGTACCACAACAGCTAGTCTGGTGAAACACAGCAGCCCAAGGCAAGGTTGTTTGCTTTTCTGGCTGTCTTTAGTCTGTTAGTTGAGCAGCAGCGTTGTGCTTTTGGGACAATAATCAGGATTCATTATTGTACAGTACATGGTATTTGTTGGAGTAACTTATTCTGATCTTGTTTCTTTTAAAAGTCCAATTGTTTTGGTATTGTACTTTGATAAGATTGTTTGTGCTAATTCATTTTCCATGTCCAAAGAAATATAAGATTTTTCATTGTTAAATGTACTTGCTTCTGCTTTCTGAGGGGAACTGTGTATTGTGAGGAAAACAGAGAAGAGCAAGATTTTAAAATCACCAAAGATATAAGTTGCAAAGGTTTTCCACTGCTGATTAATTTGCTCTTTTATAATTAAAGCACAAAGTCTTTCAGTGTACTTTAGTGAGGGAGGAACACAGTGTTTTCTCTTGTTTTTGAATGGGGTTTTTTGAAAACCTGAAGAGGATTACTACAAAATAGCAAAGTAGAAAATCAAAAGATTAGAAGATACTGTATAATTGGAAAAAACAATTTAAAATGTTGTTAATCAAAAGTCTTTCATAGTAGTCATGATGCCTCATGCTTGTGTGACGGGACACAAGAACCAAGCATAGGTGGTGTTAAACAGAACTCCTTGAAAGAAAGAAATGTTTGAAAAGTGTAATTATCATCTTAAACAGAAAAATTTGTTGATGTGTCTGCCATATGTTATTAATAGTGTACAATTGAAAGAACCAAATTCTCAGTGTACTGTATTCGGTAATCAGGTTGTTTGCTGTAATTGCGGGTAATGTTGACCTATCACAATTATTCCTGTTGAAAGGTAAAGTTAGGTATTTGTAGTTTATGCTGCTCTGTTGGGACTGTACAGGTGACAATGTGAAGATCTTTTTATAGTGAACCTGAGGAATTATAAATCCTTAAGAGAAAATGTTCATGCATCACCTTGCTCTAACTGCTACTATAATTCAAACATTGGATGATGAAAAATACATCTTTAAGTTGGTGGTGATGTGTTTAAAAAATGTATAGTTCATTGTGTGGGGGAGAGACAACACTGAATATTAAGCCTTGTCTCAATTACTATACTTTCACCAATATTCATATTGAATATCTGTCCTTCATTTATTAAATTTTTTATTGTAGAAAGGTAGTTCATGTGAAAGTGGGTCCCATAGGCTTGACTACCTGTTAAGGACACTGGAGGCGAGCATTACTCCGTCTCTAACAGTAAGAAGTTGTTTTAATCAGTAACTTGAGGAAAACTTAGATTGGTGATGAACAGTTTCCAACTACATTTATAGGCCAGCCCCAGTCCCCCTTCTTTAGTGTATTTTCCATGATACAAAGAATTATTCAGAAAGATTTAGGACAATATCTTACAAAAGTAACCACCTGACGTAGTGCTGATACCCACAATAATTAACAAGGCAGGTAAAGTTGCTTCACTACAGCTACAGGTTAAGATTTTGTGTCAGCAACTTTACATAGTGTAAATTTAAGTAAGAATCTCACAATACATTACAAATTAGAAATAAAGTCAAAAGAATTAGTTTGATATCAGTCAGAATGTATCTCCCATAACTGACCACACCGGCCATGTCCCCCAAACTCTCCCAGACTGGTGGTTATCAGATATTTTCTTCTTTAAAAATACATCACAGGGAATCTATTAGCGACTTCGATTAATTAACATTATATACAGTAAATGGTTGTTTATAATTAAGACAATTTTATTATGATTTTTTTTTTGTAGCGAATGGACCTTGAGATTATTAAGATTATGCATAGCAATTTATCGGCCGTTCACTCACCTACTGTTTTCTTGCCAATGCCAAGTGTGATATTACAAGTATTCCAATGGTGTAAGGTTCTTGATGCAAAGTATAAATTTTTCATTACGGGGGGGGGCAGGAAAGTGTGTCGTTGACATTAGACTTTGAAATCTTTGGGTGTCAAGTAGAAGAGTTATTTTCACATGGAGTTGTCATTTAAGAAAGTTCTGGCCTCAGTGTAACACAAATAAACAACTCATCATCATTATTCCTTCCTTCCACATCCCTCTTTTAAGTTTTTCCTCCACTTAAATCCTTCCTCATTCTTCAAATTTTCTAATTTCTTTTTCTTCTTCCACCTCTTTTACTTCCTCATTTTCCAATTAACTTCTCTTTCCTTTCACCTCTTCTTCCTCATTTTCCTGCCCTCCTCATCGACCCAGTTAAATCAGTGGTCTTGTTGGGGACTCTGAATTTGCATTACTTAAATACAGTAGTGTACAGTGTATCTACAGTATGGGTAATGATAATGAGGTACATTGAGTATCTATAAGAGAGGCTTCGGTTAAGTATAATTTGGGATAGCTGTGTCGAGGGAAGTCTGAGAGCTACTGAAAGGTGTGAGAGGGATCTAAGAAAGTTATATAATTCACAGTTTGTGTTGGGTTTATTTTAGGAAAGATTCTGCTCAGTAAACCTCATGAAGCAGACAGAGTACTGGGTTAGTTATAAATTATGTAAATCAATGAAAACGTGTGATTTTATCAAGATATATATATATATATATATATATATATATATATATATATATATATATATATATATATATATATATATATATATATATATATATATATATATATATATATCATCGGCACTTTTTTATGGACATTTTCCACACTTGCATGGGTCAGCTGTGATAGTGACAACGATGATGATGTATATTTAGAGTTGGTCTTTTTTGTTTGTTTTTTTCCAGTAATGAGCTCCAAGACATTGGTTAATGATAAGTGTGAAGGAACAGGTAGTGCCATGGATGCTTTAAAGACAGCTTAAAGTCTGTAATGAATCATAATGTCATAACCATTGGGGTGTATGTAGAGTATAAAAGTTTAAAAGAGTCATATTCGTGTCAATCACTTTACTATACAATCACATTAGTGTATTTTGATTTATTATGATAGGTTAATGTTAATTTTGAATGGTGATGGATGTTAAAAGAAAACTTCATGTTGTATTTTACTGTACAAGGTACTTGTAGATATGCAGTTTATACTCTGTGTTAGTCCATGAAAATATCAAGACAATAAATTCAGTTTATTTGTATATTTTTACTTATATAGATTCTGACAACCTTGAGCATCAAGGTGTTGTGTGTGTATATATATATATATATATTTATATATACAAATAATTAGAGGGAAATTATTCCCTCTTTGTAAATTGTATATAAAAACCTAGTTTTTAACACCCAAAAAAAATCTTAAGAAGATTTTTTTTATACAGAGCAGCATAAGTTACGTGGTACATGCATACATACGGTGTTTATACATTATCTCAAAAAACTTTGCAAGTCGCATCAGGTGTGATGCTGTGAGACCTGAATGGTTGATATATTGTGGAAATAATGCATGTTGCATGATGCGTGTTGTGATGACTGGTGCCATCCACACCCCTATTTGGCCATACTGACTTGTGGGTATACACAACATGGTTGATAATTTTGAGTCTTAGGGAAAGTGGTGTGTAACTCTCTCTCAGGTGTTCTTCCTTCACTTATCCTCTGTCTTACTGTCACCTGGTCATTTCTGTTTGCTGTTACATTAGTCATCATGCATCTCATTATGAACATTGTAAAAAAGACAATGCAGATTCCTGGTAGAAAAAGATTTTAATATAAATTCCTTGGAAATATTGCCTAAGATCTCAAAATTTTCAGTCGTGTTGTAAATGTAAACTTGTATACAGAGGATCTCAAGAGTTTGTAAATAATGATGGTAAATTTGTGATGTAAATTATTTTATCTTGTAAAAATGACAATATTTTACTAAAATAGCAAGGCCTGAGATGCAGGATTAGGTTTATAATTCATAATTTTTCCATACATTAACTTTCCTTTATCCCTTCCCATTCCCTCATACAAATGTTATCCATTCTTAGGTAAAACATGCAAATGGAGTACAGTAGTCAGTACAGTAGTGATAAGATATAGATTTTTTATCTAAAACATATTCCATCCACTCAATTTTCTTCTGGCAGAAAGAGTCTGAATAGTTTGTGACAAGATTCGTCAGTTGTAGACATATTATTGTGTTTGTTTATAGATACAGAGATTTAGTTAAACATTGATCTATGGCATAACTGAAGGGATTTCTGTCCAGATGATTTTCTTTTTCTTTTCTTTATCTGCCTCATCATTCTTATGTTATGTCATCAGTGCTTTGATGAATCAGGTGCTTGATTAGCACTGTTATGATATTCAGACTTTTGGTTCTGTTATGTTGTTGAAGTTCATATGCATGTGAAATGATAATTCAATGACCTTTGTTTTCCTTTACCATTGAAATATAGTAAACTATTTTTCTGGGAGAGAAGATAAGTTTGCCAGAACAAGGACAAGTGTAGAGGTGTGCCAGTTCAAAGACAAGTATAGAGGTAAAGGTTAAAGATGTGTGTAAATGTACAATACAACTCAGTCAGCAAGAAACAGGATCGTTCACTTGACCTGGAAGCCATATTTTAGAGTTATTGTATAAATATGGCACATCACCCATGACATGTTTGGATGTGAAGATGAGTAAGTTTGAAGAGACTAATCATCATTGTACTTCACCCTGTCTTAGATAATCATTGTAATGTACACAATTTAACAGTTTCACGTGTGGCGATGCGTTTTGTATTATCATGCAGGTGTTGTAGCAAACCATTCGCTCAAGAATTTAAATGTTTTGATGAACAGAATGTTGTAAGTTAATATTTGAAAGACTTCAGTATTGGTTTCTTCTCTCTTCGTAAATATTGTCAGGGTTTTAACTTAAATTGGGTACACAATAAATATAAAGTGTGTGGGGTCCTCGATTCTTCTTTGTCACATAATTAATGAGGATTAGATTGGGAAGGTTTAACCAGAAGTAGGGAGGAGGTTCTTCATTGATGTGCATTGTTTGTGGAACCTGCTATAGACAGTTTTGGTGTGAACCCAGTGAACAAAACCTCAAGTTATTCAATTGGGCCCTGTTTCAGATATATCCAACAAAGAGCTTATCTATGACTATGGGGATTCAAAAATAGGTAATTTCTTAACATTATTGATCTTATAAGAGTAATTATATGAAAATAATGTTAATACTTGTAGTCAACAGCCACACGACACCAGACACACAACCTGCAATAGTTTTTCCGCCCTGTGACAGTCAAGGGGTGAAAATATGGTCACTTTAATTTCATTCAAAATACCTGCTCTTGGATTTTGTATGTCTGTGACAAAATACGGTAACTCCCTTTGGTATATGATTAAAAAATAATAATATATTGTACAGTGCTGTGCTTAATGGAACAGATTTTTAACAACTGGTTTGTTCTTAAGCTAATCACAGTAAATGATTGTGTCAAGCAGATCATTCTCTTCCATGTGAAAAATCTCCCAAATCACTTCATGATTTACAGTGTTAAATCTTTAGGTGTGAAATTTATAAGCATAAAGGTGCCCCAGCAGATGTGGTAACTTGATAGAAGGGTGTGATGTGACACTTGTAGCGGGACATTTCTCTATTTCTTTATATACTGTACTGTGCCGTACAGGGGCATTGTTAGATGATTGGTCTGCTGAAAACTACTATGGATGATCATTTAATTTCAGACATATAACTTTCATGATTAAAACTGGATTGTTTTTTTAATTTTAGTTGTTGATACCAAAGTTCAATTTCATTGTAGTATACTTTATTTTAATTTAAGGGGTTTCTGACCCTTGTTAAATGCTGAATTTATAAAGAAAATTTTAAGTAAATTATCACAAGCATTATTAAAAATGTTAGTACTGTAGTCAATATCCTGTATGTTGACTTTATAGGACTTTCATAATCCACATTTATGTAGATCTTGACTTTATATAAAGTTTTGCTGAACTTGGTGAAGTTCTGGAAAATATTTATTGATACCATTGGGAAGCCACAGTGTCCCTTAAATAAATTTACAAAACATTTTCCATGTCATAAGATAGTTGCTAGAGTTACCTGTGTGTGTGTGTGTGTGTGTGTTGTTGGATCAAGGCAATTGTTAGACCATACAAAAATCTAAATACAGAGGCCATATAGGAGCCTTCTTTACCTCGCATCATAGTTCTTCTTTTGATTTGTGTTTACTCAGTCCAGTCGGGTGGTATGTTGTCATTTAAAGATAGATACGTTATATAGTTCATGGGTTTTTGTATTTTTGTGTTGAATATTAAAGGTGTTTATCCCATATACCACAGTAAGCTGCCATCAGTTTTGTTTGCCTCATTATCATACACACAAAAAAAGATGGTATTGATACTAGTGAGTGTAAGTATAAAATTTTTGGAAATTTATTTT